CTGCCGGCCCGCCAAGCCCATCCGGGGTTATTCCTCCAAGTCAGCGCTTTTCGACAGCACCGCGTTTACTCGAGTCAAACGCGTCCCCCTGCGAAGCAAAGAGAAAGCTGCATCAGGAAACCGCCGGAGCCGAACACGGCAACTCCCCGCAGCTCTCGCCGTGCCGCCCTGCTGAGCACACGGTTACTGCTTCACCAGGAAGGGCGAGCGGAAAAACATGAAAACTTGAGCAAATCAGGCAGCCTCCACAATGCAGAGGTGGTTTGCTAAGCCTTAATAGATAAAAAATGACGTTATGCGTGCCTGCCACCGTGTATGCGCTTTGATGCGTTTAGCATATATTTTTATCTCTGTATCGCAAACAGCAGAACTGCCTCGCTTCTCTGAAGGCCCGGGCAGTTCATAAAATCAGAACAAGTCTGAAAACTCAGCAGTTCATGAAAAAAGACACATTATTTTTTTAAATTTTATCACATTACAGCACTGCGGGGTAGAAAAAGACGGACAATGCCCCCAGCTGGAGTTCAAGGTGTCACCTGTGAGTGTTGACGTTCCTGGGTGAACCCTGCACTTTCCGATTTTGGAGCTTCCCAGCCACCTTGGCTCTACCCCGGAGCAAGGACTAACAGGGCACCTCAGCTCGAACAGGCTTCCAAGTGATGCACCATAAATGATGGAATTTGGATGGAACCAAAATGATGGAACCACAGCCTGGTTTGGGTCAGGATGGACCTTTAAAGGCCATCTTCTCCAGCCCCCTGCCATGGGGAGGGACATCTTGCACCAGGTCAGGTCACTCAAAGCCCCGTCCAACCTGGCCTGGAGCACTTCCAGGGACGCGCCAGCCACAGCTGCTCTGGGCAACCTGTGCCAGTGTCTCACCACCCTCATTGTAAAGAATTTCTTCCTTATGTCCAATCTAAACCTACCCTCTTTCAGTTTAAAACTGTTGCCCCTTGTCCCGTCACTACAGGCCCTGGTACAAAGTCTCTCTCCATCTTTCCTACAGGCCCCCTTTAAGTACTGAACGGCCGCAATCAGGTCTTCCCACAGCCTTTTCTCCTCCAGGCTGAACAACCCCAACTCTCTCAGCCTGTCCTCACAGGAGAGGGGCTCCAGCCCTCTGATGCCCGAGGGTCTCATCAGGTCCCATGGCCTTACGCATGTTCAGGTTCCTTAGGTGGTCACAAACCTGATCTCCTGTAATGGGAGGGACTTCATTCCCCCAGTCCCCGCCTTGAGTTTTAGGGGCTTGAGAGATGCAGGCAGAGAGATTACCATTGAAAACCAAGGCAAAAAAATAGTTGAGTACAATCATGCAGCACATTTTCTGGCTGTCAGCCAGCCAGCTCAATGAGCCTCGCATGGGTGAAGATGCAACTTCAAATGCCCGGACCTGACTCAAGTCCAAATTCTTTCCAGAGAACGATAAGATAACAGAAATCTTTTACGCAATCAAGGACGTGAAATGATTTCTCCTTCATCTATGTACGTTTTTCAAGGTTTAACCACTTCCATGCACATTCAGGCATGCTTCTGTAGAGTCGCTCTTCACGAGAGGGCCTTGGATGAGCATTCCTTGAGGAAAGCTCCCAGAGGAGCATCCTCTCTCCCATCAAGGGATGCCGCAGCTTGAATTTGGCATGGCTTCCCCGGTGAGCTGTCACACCTGGGTGCCACCGGACTGTAGGAAAAGAGGAGTGATATTAGCCGTAACTTTATTAATTACACAGAATGGCAGGGGTTGGAAGGGACCTCAGGAGATCATCCAGTCCAACCCCCCTGCTAAAGCAGGGTCACCCAGAGCAGGTTGCACAGGACTTCGTCCAGGTGGGCTTTGAATATCTCCAGAGAAGGAGACTCCACAACTCCCCTGGGCAGCCTGTGCCAGGGCTCTGTCACCCTCCAAGTAAGGAAGTTTTTCCTCATATCCAACTGAAACCTCTTCTGCTTCAGTTTGTGCCCATTGCCCCTTGGCCTGTCGCTGGGCACCACTGCAAAGAGTCTGGCTCCATCCTCATGACTTCCACCCTTGAGATATTTGTATGTGTTGATGAGGTCCCCTCTCAGTCTTCTCTTCTTCAGGCTGAACAAGCCCAGCTCCCTCAGCCTTTCCTCATAGGGGAGATGCTCCAGTCCCCTCATCATCTTTGCTGCCCTCCTCGACTCCTGTAACCTGGATAAAGCAGGGATATTCACAGAGAACAGATAAGCACTGAGCAAAATACAGGCTACTCCCCGGTTCCCATATCCAAAGCAGGCTCCTCACTGGACCGTTCCATCACATATTCTTTCCAGGAAGACAAGCCATTCCAAGGACCTAAAAAGGAGGGAAGCCAGGCCATCCCTACAGCAACAAATTGTACCGCAATCAGGTGGTGACACCGCTCTGCCAGCATCTGGCCACATGCCAGGCTGAGGGGCTAGCAAAAGGGAAAAGCAAAGAATAAATAGGATCCAAACAGTTTTTTCAGTGGGTATTTTCAACTCTGACGGCTTCACTCGCACTGATTTTTGACGTGAGATTTTTACTCAGCAGAGGTTCGGAAGAGTTTGTTTTAAAATTAAGCTTCAAAAGGTTCCCCTGAATCATTTTGTGATTTCAGCCTGAAGTCAGGGAAAGCTCCAGCTGCCCCCAAACTATTTGCAGCAAATAATTTTATAAAGATATTTCCATTGATCCACATTCCATCCAAGACATTAGATGGACCCATACAAACTCGAGATAATGGGAACTCACGTTTTATTTTTACGCAGCTACTCAGTTTGGATAAATTAAATGCCTTTGAGACTAAGCAGCACGTTGAGCCAAGGAAGTTAACTTTAGTTCAAACCACAATTCGATGCTTAATTTGATATGAGGAATGGGTAGGCCTTTTCCATCAGGGAAGTGGAAATTAGATTTGACCAATGGGTATGGTCATGTTGCTGTAGAAGACATTCCTGGAGGAGCTCAGAGTTACAAATACGACTAATAAACAAATCCGCAAATTTTGTGTGGGGGAAAAAAAAACCACCAAAAAACCAAAACTGTTAGGAAAAGAATCACACAAGACTTGAAATGAAGACCCGGCCTTCCTACAGTGTCCTCCTGAGGGCAGGGTGTGCGCATCCCATGGCTGCGGCACGTGAAGCACCTCCTCTGGGCAGGGAGAGCGCTCTACTGGGAGAGAGTTCCGAAAATGTGGGGGGGTTTGGGCGACTGCACGCCCCCGGGATACTTGCCTCCCTCCAAAATGAGGTCTGGCAGAAATCTGGAGAAACGCATCTACACATGGTGTTACAAAAACTTCAAGCCAGGCAAGCTGGAAGTTGTCTACCACCAGCCTGACCAGCGATGTCCTGGGGGAAAACGTGCCGTAACCATTCCAGCCCTGCCCAATCCCCGGCTGCGGCCACCGCACGTGAATGAAAGGAGCAGACCGAAAGCCACGCTTGCAGTTCTTCCACTCACCGTTCGATCCTGCGATTAAAGAACATCTTAGGGCCATGGCTTAGTGGTGGGATGGCAGGGTTAGGGTAAGGGTTAGTCTTGATGATCTTAAAGGTCTTTTCCAACCTAAACCATTCTGTGACTCCAACATAACTTTAAGTAGGTATATTGTAAAAAACCTTGAGTTCTTCCCTCCAAAGCATCACTGCCTGATTTAACTCAGGCCAGTTTTCTGGTTCGGGTCAACACGGGGCTGCGCAAGCCCCCGGCTCGGCACGGCACAGGGGGGGCAGGAGGACGCTGGCGCGGGTGAGGGGGTGTCAAAGTCGCTTCTTTGGGAGCTGCTGTCCGCACGTGACAGCTTACGCCGTGCGAAATGGCGGTCTCCGTTTCACAACTCCTCCCTAAACAGCAAGCAAACCTTGCATTTACCAAGCCTGCCACGAGTGTGGTTCTTGGGGCAGGGATCCTCCGGCTTTGGGAAAATGCCATCTATTTTTACGTTGCTTGTATGAAGCCCTGTCCCAGCTACAGCCCCAGGATAAACCACCAACTCTTCAAAACATCATTTCAGGAGCAGAAATCCAACGTAAAGAGACAGACGCCAATTCTAAATTACAACACTTTATTGCAGCATTGGCAAAGGTCAGATTTCTGAAGCTGGTGAAGATCGGGCGGCATTTCTGTATGAAATGTTACAATTTTACAAGTCTCTCTTCCTACATGCAGAAACCAAAAACAGTGGTAAAAAGGATTTTAAAAGAGCTAGAAAAAAGAATTAGTAGTAACATACAGATGAGCTCCTTAACTCAATTAACTACCTCTACCTGAAAGCAAACAAAAAACTATGCTAATAAATAACAGGTTGTCAGAAACAGACCAAGAAACCTCATTTCTACTTAGAAAAAAATAAAAATTCTACTTGTTTCCAGACTTAAATCTTTTTTTTTTTTTAAACTTTTTTTTTGTTTGTTTCAATAGACACAGAGGCTTATCAACCCATGAAGATCAACAAAATATTTGGATCCACTCCTTGACATCCTCCCGTTATGCTGACTGGCACATTTTGGTTTTCAATGATAGATACAATGGGCTCAACCATATCCCTGCCCTCCGGCTGGTGTCAGGCTGTTCCACGCAGTACGAGTCAACACCCCGTGGTTATCAACTTCACATTCTATTTTAAACCTTAACAGACATTTTACCTCCTTGGCTCTTGCGTTCTTCATCCCTCCCCACTCCCTCTTTCTTGCCCCTCTGGCAGCAAAAGGCTATTCCTTATCCAAAGACTTTCTCGCTGAGGAGTGTTTGGTAAGAAGTTGTCCTACTTGTCAGGGTTTTCGTTTTGATTTCACCATTTGCTCTACATTTTTCTACTGTAGATTGGCAGCCCCCCAAGAACATCCTTCCAACACCAAGTGCTCGATTCGGAGATAACGTAGCTTGCGTCAAGTTTAGAACTTTGTTCTCCCACGTACTGAGCTGTCAAAGACCTTTTCCATTCCAGTGTAATCCAGCTGAATTTCAGGTTGATCTTTTGTTTTCACCAAGCTGCTCGCTGGTCAAGTGAACCATCTCATTCATTTACTTCTGCTCTTATGAGAAAATTAACCCTCAACGCGGTTCCCATAACAAAAAGCTTTTTTTTTTTTAATTTTTTTTTTTTTTAATTTTTTTTTTGGTAGGCCATGACTGAAAGCTTCCACTTGTTCTGTGTGGGGTTGGGGGGGAAGAGGGGAGGCTGTTGCTTCTGCCCCACGGCCCCAGCCTGTCCCAGGTTTCGATTCTGAACGCTCTAGACTGACATGCTGAGATGTGTCCACTGCTCTCGTTTAATCGCTGGAGGACTCCACTATCCACAACATCAGAGATACAGGACCTAATGAAATGACACTTGCTGCTGGATCAGCGTCTCCTAAGGAAAGAAAGGAAAAAATAAACAATTTAATACAAGATATCCCACACTGTACAGGTTAGCAACCAGTGGAATCGACTGTTAGTGATTTTGATATTCTTTTAACCTCTACATATTAAAAGTTCCTTATTTCTATTATCTGCACAAATTTCTCAGAAGGCCACATCAGACAGAAGAAGGTAGATAACTTGAATCAGAAAGTCCCCCACACAATTCCAGCAGCCAAGTCTAAAATTGTCCAGAAACAGCCAGCTGCCTTACCCTCCCAGATGAGATGCTGAACTACTCAAGTGCACAGCTGATCAGTCAATTTGTTGAAATACAAGCTATTTAAAATCATTTTCATCTTTTTGTGCAGTTTCTTAATGTTTATAGAAGTTCTGCAGAAATGGTAGAGAGGGCTTTCTAGAGTCAAATAATTGTTTAGAACGTTTTTAGAGAGTCGACAGTAGTATTAAAGTTTTCAGTCATCCCTTGTTCATGAAAAACATCTCCCTACCCAGAAAAAGTCACGTTTAATTCTCTTAAGAACACAAATGTGCATTGAAAAATTACACCAGTTTGCCGGTACGTGACTCAACAAGACCAGAGCGGTCTAGCGGTAACGCTGATCTAGCATCACTAACTTCAGCACAGCCGCCAGTCGCTGTATCTGGGCTGGTTTTCAGATGATTTCTAGACTGCAAATTAAAATCTAGTAGTACAAAGCAAAGTAAAAATTAGACACTTATAATTACAAGAAAGCTCCAGGGCTGCACAGCCAAGCCTTTTACCACGTAAACAAAACAGGTCATGCTTTCTTTACATTACTGCATAAGCCTCAAGCATTTGTTAAACAGTGATTTAGTCTTAAACCTCGTTATTCTTGCAAGAAAAATGTTACAAGTATGTTAAATTGGACATAGCAACTTCTGCATTTCTTGTGACAGATAAAGCTTTCATAGTAATTCTGTGTTCGTATGCATTGCTCTGTGCTGGTATCCAGAATTCGTGTATTTTACTTAAACACACCGTATGTTTTTGTCAGGAAGTACCGAGCTGATGCACCACTAGAACTTACCGCAGAACTTTAATTTTAATATGTTTAATAGAATGAGATTTCACTTGCAGAATGTTACAGCTGAGAAGAACCTTCAAACATCAATTAATCGTAGAATTGTGCTTTTACCTCTCCATCTCCCTTTAAAAAGAATAGTTCTGCCGTTGATGGGGAGGGAAGGAGAAAGGCGAGGACAAGCTGCGTGTATCTAACTCTGTAAAAATGACCCTCACCAAGCCAGCAGCCGCGGCGGCACGCCGGCGGCAGACAAGGCAGAGGAAGCAGTGTTTCAGTGGATTAGGGCGAGATGCTGCCGGTAGCAGCAGTTTTTGCAAAAACTGGTATTTCACATGACATTTCTCTCCAAATTAGTAAACTTAATCCAAGCCTGTATTTCGCAAGGTCAAACTCTGTACATAGTTGTAAAGACATCTTGAACTGTATGTGTAAAATGAATCAATCTTTTTTTTTTTTTTTCAACCTACTCCCCCACCTCCCTTCCCCACTACCACAGTTATTAATTTGTATACAAATCTTACAGTCATCTTTTCCACACCGCTGCAGAAGTATTCACACGGCCTACACACTGTGTGACAGAGAAACACACAGATACACTTTTACCTAATCATGGCTGGAGCAGAAAACCAGAACTTGCAAAAAGGCACAGACACATTACACCACAGTATAGGCTAGGAAATAATCACAAATCCATTGCACGTGTGAAGTTGGGAGAAGTTAAGGCAGACATCTTTATGGCTTAAACTGAAGGGTGCCCAGGAGAATTTATGAAATCAAGTCCTTTCTGCACATTGCTGACATCACAAGATCACAAAAAATTCTTATTCTTTCTTAACATGCGAGATCTTTGAAATTCTGTTTCACTCTTCTCCCTAATCCCTTCATCAATCCACAACGCTCTGTGCATTTCTGGAGTACTGTATTCCTTCATAAATTTCAGGCACCTTCCTTCTCCAAACACCTCCTCTCAAAACTCACTTGCTGCTTTGCTCTTCGTGACTAATCTCAGCTTTGGTGCTCTCTGGTCTCTCTCCCTAATCACATTAACCAAAACCAGGAAAATGAAATAGAAACACAATGAACACCTGGAATTTATTTTCCTGTTTTGAACATAATGCTTTTTCATGAGCAGTTCTTTTTGTGTGCCTTACTCTGCTGAATCCATTTTCTTGTTTTCAGATGCACAAGCTTTAGAGGGGAGGACAGTTCTTATGGAGGAAAGCAGCCTGTAAAGTTCAGACTCCTGCTCGGAACTGTTGCCTGCACAGACAGCAGAGCTAACTTACGGAAACCAATCTTTCCAGTGCAGTCCACCAAAAAAAGTGGCAGGATTTGGAACCCCCTCCTTCAAGTCCCTACCCTGGGCTTTCCTCCCATAACACAGCGGAAAAGGGAGGCTGGCATTTCTCTGCTGGGTTTGCATGGCATTCATGGAAAGCTACGCTAGCATATAGAATCATAGAATCACTTTGGTTGGAAAAGACCTTTGAGATCATTGAGTCCAACCTTTAACCTAACCCTGACATCCCACCACTAAACCCTGTCCCTAAGCACCTCATCTATCCTTCTTTTAAATACCTCCAGGGAGGAGGACTCTACCACCTCCCTGGGCAGCCCATTCCAGAGCCTGACAACCCTTTCGGTGAAGAAGTTTTTCCTAATGTCTAGCCTAAACCTGCCCTGGCGCAGCTTCAAACCATTCCCCCTCGTCCTATCATTTGTTACCAGGGAGAAGAGGCCGACCCCCACCTCACTGCAGCCTCCTTTCAGGTAGTTGTATAGGACGATCAGGTCTCCCTCCCCTCAGCCTCCTCTTCTCCAGACTAAATAACCCCAGCTCCCTCAGCTGTTCCTCGTATGACTTGTGTTCCAGACCCCTCACCAGCTTGGTTGCTCTCCTCTAGACATGTTCCAGCAATGCAAAACAACATGTGTGTATTAGGGAAAAGGATGTAGTGCGGGATCAAGAATGACAAGTGAGAAAAGGTCAAGATTAAAATACTGCTGAAAAAGATGGCAAAGAATAAGGTGAACTGAGCTGACACCCAGAGCACTGCATTTGTTAAGTGTTTATGGTATCTAGAATATGCAGATGGGAGCCATTTCATCATCAAAATCTCTGAAGCAAGAGCAAATTATTACTGCTGAAGTGATGACCTCCCTTTGTTTTGTTTTTTTTTTTTTTTGAAAAGAATACAAGAGATCATCGATAATGACAACTAAAGATGTCAAAAGCAGTGTGATGTACCAAGGGATAGATTTGCCAGTTCAAGACAGTGCCACACCAACACCAACAAGTTTATCTAGTTTGAGACGACAGTCTACACCGATCAGCTAGACTGAGCCTAACAGAGAAATTGGATTTAGGCTGCCCAAGACTTCTGCTATATCAGTAAGAAGTAAATTCAAAGCTTCAATATACAATACTGGTCTATACATCAACTACATAGCAGGAGAGGTATGAAGTGTGTTTGCCTAGTAGCTGAAACAGGAAATCATGTTAAACTCACATTCTTCCTTATTAACTATGCTCTGATTTTTCAGCATTAATGAAATACTCTTTATTATGAGAATATTTAGCTAATAAAATGCTAGCATCCTGTCATTACCTTTATGCTTCATTTTTCTGTATTAAATGGGTTAAAGAGAAGTCAGATGCAAATAGGAGGCCTGAAGTTACCGATTAACTTGAATATGATTTAGTTTGTCAGCTTATGTCTGCATGCCAGTGGGCCTTTTGACACAGACAGGTTCTCTTTCTTTACCATACTTTCGAAACAGCAGTGAGTTTTGAGGTTACTGCTTTTAATAAGGAGAGCTTTAGCAAGATAAATTCCTTGGTAAGGCTGCTTCTCTATAGTCAAATTTCTCATTGCAATTCTTGTTTCTTTCTTGGTAATCAATGTTTTTAAATAGATTTAATAAAGTGTGATGTGGTTATTTACATTTCACTTTGTAAGCAGACCATTTAACGGGTCTCAATCCTCTTTAAACAAAGGAAAAACACTTGTTTGAAGTGACAGGCTGTTCTCCAGAACTGTGAAAGAATATTTTCATGATACTCCATCACCAAAAAAAAATTGTCATAAATTTTGTGTTTCCTGAAGGTATCGGTTTAACAGCTTGGTAGCCAAAGTCCTCTTTTAATACACAAATGCTACAGAACTGGAGGCAAGAGTAAAAATTGTTGCCCTCCCAGTTCTGCTGAAGGAGATCAAGGAACCCTACTTTCAATGGAGTCACAGTAAATTATCTTTAAGGACAGCTAGCCTTAAATGTACGAGTCGCAGAAAGAATCTCCTCCTTGCAGAATCAGCAGGTCTTAAAACCTGAGGCTATACAAGCAGGTGATTAAATAAACAATAATAAATTCCAATTTTTCATCCAGCATTCTGCACATAATAATAAGAAATCTGACAAAGCCTGCTGATCTCACTGCACTAAATTCAATACAGCAAAATGACATTAACAGGTAACAAAAAGTAAAGACTGCAAAAGATTTCTCTCTGCTTTTTTAACAAAATACGTACTGTATAGCCACAGCCACTAATTCATTCTTCCATTTACTGTGGGTTTATCCCAGGCAAAGGAGGTGACAGATTTATGGGTAGTTTGGGTTTTTTTGTTTTTATTTAGCACCCCACTAGACCAAAACAGAATCACAGAAAAATTTCAGTTCCGTGGGCCCTCTGAAGGTCATCCAGTCCAAACACTGCGGGGCTAATTGCAAAGCTAGATCCAGTTGTTCAAGGTCAAAAACATACGAGAGAACCCAGTTCTGCCTTCAGTAATTTTTGAATCATCCATTATGACAGGTAGATTTGAAATTAACTTTCCAAATGAAGTTTGAAATATGGTGTGTAGGACATGTTTAGCAACACAAAAGTTAAGGTAAAAGCACCAAATCAGTTTCTCTACTCTTAACACTACTTGAAATGCAAGAAAGTCCTCATCCCAACCTTACCTATCAGAACCTGTCAGGTTGTAGATTAGAGTGGAATCAACCAGGAGATTTACATGCTCAAATTATTCCTAACCTCAGGAAATTTAAAATAAAAAGTTGCATACCTTAAAGAAAGCGACATACATTATTATTTCCAATAAATTTGAGTTACTATTGCGAGAAAATAACTCAGTCTTCTTCATATACAAAGAAGAAACAATGCAACACAGCTCACTCATCATGTAAGTGATAACATCTATAATTATACAAATTGGTTCTATCACATAGGAAAGTGAAAACTTCTCCAAACAGATACTAAAATTAATAGCTCAGTTCCTATTTGCTCTCAGCAAATAGGAAGATACTCTAGTGTCCTCGGAGTCTGTGGGCTAACTTCTTAACTAAAAGATGAGGGTAGTCTGGGCAGAGAGCCTGCAGTTCACCCTTCAAAGTGGGAAGACAATCTTCAATAGATCCTGTAAATCAGAAGCTCTAAAAAATGTAAGTGACAGACAATCTAAACCACAAGCTGTAAGCCATTGGTGGACCCACAGTCTCCAATAAATACACCTCTGCTTAAATCTCTTTCAGTTGGGGTTAAGAAAAAGTAACATTCCCTTACGCCAGGCTAAGATGGCCGAACTGATGCATGACTGCAAGCCTGAGCATTGCACTAGGCAACAAATAAAACATGCCTGCTAAACCAAACTTCCGGTCCCTGCTCTAAGGAGCTTACAGATTAAAAGGAACAAAGAGTAGATGACATAATACAAAACTACATCAAAATTGCAGGCACATGGCACAGCTATTTGAAGCAAACACTACTGAAACTGTTTGCTGGACAACGTCTGACCTACTTTACAGTCAAGTTCTACGTTACATTTTCCCTAAAACATTTGAAAATGAAAAGCTTTCAAAATAACTGCATTTAAAAAAAATCTGCAAACATCACATCTACTGGTCTGGCTGCTGTATTTAAAGAATAACTGCAGTGTGCTCCTCGTACAGGTTGTGAGGCATTTGGGAAAGATGATGGAAAGAAGAGAAGACTGCACAGTTATTTACAAAACACCTGCAAGTATTATGGCAATTCAGTGTAACTGAATAGTTTGTATTTCTATGACAGTATTAGGCCACAGTGATATGGAAAAACTAAATGGACAGCACTGCTCATTTTATTGAGTTACAGCTGGTTAATTTATAAAAAATTATTTTAAATTGCAGTCTGTTTTCAAGAAAGTAGGGTTTTTTTGTATAAGCGGTATCTGCATAGGGTCTCAGTGGAATGAGTGATCATCAGGAAGTTATAAAGTGACTATAAAAATGTACCAGAAAGAAGTTGGCAATGTTACTGTAATGTAGATTAGTATAATACATTAACTTATTTACAGTTTACAGAGACAGACCCATTAGTAGGTAAACGCTCCCTTCCCAGTTGCTGCTCCTATCTATCCACCTCCAAAATTAACTTGTGAAGAAAAAAGAAACATGAAAGCAATCTGCGTTTCACCTGAAACTCTGTCTATTCAAGTTTGTGCTGCAGGGTTAATTTAATGGTTTACTCACAAGCTTACACCAAGTGGGAAAAGACACACTGAGATATATTAAAGCTGTAGAATGACTATTAGGCAATCTGGAATGACTCTCTTCATGTTAATACTGGTTTTGGTATGCTCTTGCACGCCATTAATCAAAGGTCCTCCTCTCCCCTCCCTACCTTCACTATATTTATTTTCCATTCAGGGCTTCAAATACAGAGGGGTAGAAAATCTCAAATTCACCAAACTGAAAAAGCACAATGGGAATTTCTCTACATACTCAAAAATATTCTCCCACCCCTCTAACTGAGAAAGCAGACTTGCGTCCTTTCCCTTGTAAAAAGCAGCTCAGATTCTACCAGCCATTTCACAACTGAAAAATAAACCTCTGGCTTCCAAACCTCTGTCAAGGACATATTTACAGACACCGTGTTAGAAGCACAAAACACTGCTCACGATATTTTAATAGAATGCTTTAAAATGGAAACTATTAACAAGTGCATTTGCACTACACAGATTATTATCTGTTTCAATTATGAACGTAATTACTTGCCCAGAACCAGAATTACCACATTTAAAGGAAGAGTGTCCTACCTCCCACCAGTTTTAAAGATTAGATCTGCATTAGGTGCTCCCTTCGGATGCTGGTAACGAGGCCGCCGTTCACGATTAGTATTGGCTGGAGCGGGACGCTGTGCCAGGGACTGCAACATTTCTGTAATTTCATACAGAAGAAAGTTAAATACATCTTCTATGCATCTTCTTAAAGAGAAATTTACACAAGCACATTTCACTGCGATGTAGTAAAAAAAGACCCCTTATTTACACTTTGCTATATTTTAGGGTTAACATCCTCAAGTTATTCCATAACAGCTAATTTTAAAAAAGTTACTAAATTGCATAGACAGCTTTGACAAATCCAAGCTACCCTGTAACATGAACTTGCATTTCCAGATGTTCTTACAGAAAGAACTGCCAACAGTGGTTTTCATCACAGGTGCTTAAGAAAGGGGCTGTGACCTTTTCTTTCTAAATGTAACACCCACCACTTTCTTTATCAATGATCAGGGACAAAGCTTCACAGCAGTATGAGAAGCCACAACATTAAACCACCCTGAAATAGTAACAACTGGACAATGTTGCTGCCAATTAAAGACTCAGCAAGAAACCTGTCCTAAAATTAGGCACTGAGAAGGCAGGTATTTAAGGCTAAGCCAGCCCTAATAGGATCCTTTTACAGAGAAGACAGGCACCTGAGGGTGGCTCAGCTGACCTACATTACACCAGCTGTCTCATGGATGGAGTTTTTCACTTTATAATTAGTGAGAAGAAATAGGTGGGTGCAGAAAGAAGGCTACACTACCCAGTTTAGCCCTGGACATCCAACTTTTGGCAGTTTAAACTAGGTAAGTATGGTGTTTTGGCATTTGGTAAGATTTCATTTCTAAAATTTCATTTAATTTTTTTTAATGATAAAAAATGGCTCTTTACCAGGCTAAGGTAATGGTTATTAAGCACCCAGTACAATTACGAATACATCACAGGAACCTCCACATAACCTCTGCCCATATGTTCATACATCTAATGGAAAGTATTTCTGACAGTCCACCTGTGCAAGAATCTGCATTGCTCAGCAGACAGATGGAATAAATGAAGGGGAAAAGTGGAATAAGCTGTTAAACAGATTACGTTTGAAAGTCTGCTCTGTCTGGTTCCCTAATCTCTGGTAATCTCATTGGAGACACAGACCCATCACCTGCTAGAAACAAACACACTACTCTCAGTGTCTTGCACAGGGCAAAGCTGCAGGCTCTAATGAGATGCTCTCCCCATTTACAAAATGCACATGAAGCTTTCAGTAGCTATCCACCCAGTCCTTGAGAAACTGGGAAACTATGAATGATTTAATATACAGTATTGGTGTCAACAGTCAATAAACCATGTATTCATGCTCTGTATATTCCCCTATCAACACCTGGAAACAGCAAAGGAAGCCGTTCAACACGCTGCCAGTCCATTTTTGTAAATATCATGAAATAACATCCTTCAAAACAATTCTGTATGCCAGGAGATCTCCATGTTGGCAATGGCAAGACCCAGGAAGAAAACAAGATATTATGGAACATTGCCAGCCAGGTGCTAGCAGCAAGCAATGAACGAGCAAGTGTGTGCATGCCTGTCTCTTCTGTTTTTCATGCTGTAGGTGAAAGAAAATATCAGCATTTGTGAGAAGTCACTAACTGAGAAGTTGAATAATTAAGAAGATAACGGAAGAAACAGCAAAGGAGCACAAGGTATTTAGCTTAGGCATGTCACCCATCTTTGGTTTTAGTGAAAGCAAAAATAAAACTACACAGAAAAATACTAGTCTATATTAGAGTCACCCAGTTCCTAATATTTCTTTAAAAAATAGACTAGTATTTTTCTGTGTAGTTTTATATTAGAGTCACCCAGTTCCTAATATTTCTTTAAATTAAAAATGTTTATAATACTAATAAACATTGATGAAGTATTAAATAATTATCTGATACTACTTTGGTGAATTTTCATCTATTAGCTACCCTGTGCAGATAAAAAAAACCAAATGTACATGCAAATATTAGGACAACCCTGAGGCACTCTTCCAGAAATTGAGACTTCTTCCTCCCTTGGTAACTTCAAAGCTTGAAGCAGAAATCTGAAACCAACTCTTTCTTTCAATGGGTACGTACCAACTTGTTATGGGCAAGCTCACTCTTCAAAAGTAACAATCAACTGCACAAAATCTAAATAAAAAATAGTTCCAAAGAAGAAAGTAGTTTGGCCTGTTTAACCTGATTAAAAGGTCCTTTTTAGTTTGGTTTTACTGTATATATTAACCCGGTTAATATAAAAAAAAAAAAATCAACAGCTGTTTTAAAAACAGATGTCAATTATGGAACCTATTTATTCTGTGTTGATTTTCCTTCTATATTAACCCTTTATACACAGCACCTAAAAAAAAAAATAATCTATGAGCAAGTGAAAAAAATTGCCTATTACTAGTTATCAATCGGTATCAGTTATCTGATTAATTTCTCTTCGATGAAATCAATGTGATCATTTTTTGGATAAGAAGCACAGTTGTTCACAATAAAATCCTAGATTAAACAGAGTGATTTTAAAGATACCAACAAAGTCATATGACAAGGCATAAAAACCCAAAGGCCCTGACCAGTAAAAATATCAGAAATATCATTAATGAGGAAAAACCCACAAAAAGGCTGATGAAAGCACTTACATGTCTAATTCTAGAGTCTGCTGTTTCTCTTCATTTTCACGAGTGGACTTTTAAAGTGGGGAACGTCTCGGTAAAGAAGTTTTTAAGCTGATTACAATGTTCAATACTAAGAATATATTGTGTTACCATTTCAGAGCTCTTGAGATGCTCACTTTGGAAAAATACTCCCTTTTACGACTTAAAGTTTAGTTCTTGCACTACTAAAGTTCTGAAAGGAGCATTAGATTCCATAGTGCTTTTAGAGTTAGCCCTGCTTTAATTTAAATTTCCCATTTCTTGATGAATAATGACCTCTCACTAAATACCTTAAATGATATTTCCTGCTAATTAACTACTTATACTGTGATTAAAACCAGACTGCAGCATCTTTACAAAAAAGGAGAGCAAGAACTTTGGAGTTGTTAAATGGAAATACTGACATAAGAACTGAATACCATCAGTACTATTGCTCTGGCTTTGTTTACTGTCTGAGTAAGCCAAGGGAAGTCTAGTCTGAAAAAACCCCAAACAAACCACCCAACACAAACACATTAAGTGCACCAATTTATGGGCTGTATGCTCTGTTGTATTAACTGTTTGCTTCAATCTGTCCAGGTACCAAAATACCTGACTTGCATATCTTTAAGAAACAAATTTGATCATATAATTTGTATGAAGCCTTCATTCTGCTGATATATTCTTATGCTCCAGATTTGTAGCTGTCATAGAACATTTAGCAATATGAAGCTGAGGTGAAGGTTACCTCTTAGCATGTGCAAGCCTTAGCAAGACTGATCAAGATTCTAAATACTATTAATATCTAAAAAGCAGAGTTTAAGTTGCACAGAATTAATTCCTCTTGTAACCGACTCAATTGTCTTGCAGCAATAGAGACAATGCCACAAACTTCAGATTGTGTTATCTTATTTTTAAGGAAACAACCTCGGTTCTTCCCCTTTCCCAAAATAAATGGGAATGCTGAGATTTGAGGCTCACTTGAAAACTTCCTTTCATGAAAGAACTATAAAAAATTCCAAGCAGAGAGGCCAGGGAGTAAATAATGAATGACTGAAACTAAAATACAGGTTTCCCACGAAGCACTGCAAATCAAGATTCAGAATCTGAACCACTAATCATCACAAATAATATTTTCTGTAGATCCACAAAAGTTCCTCTGAAAATAAAAACAAAGTACTTGGTGATTTTTCTTACCCTGGTAGTCCTCTTGTTCTTGCCGTTCATTGATATCCAAAGTGAGCTTTTTCATCCTCATTCTCTCCTCCTGTTCAGCTTGCTGTTGGTTCCAATGGTTTGCAGCAAGTTGGGAAGACATTGGTACATTTAGGATCTTAAACTGCAAATGAAAATAAGTTTTTAGGTGCCCATCACAGAAAAAAAAAATCAACCACAAGACAATCCAAAGTACAGAAGGGTTGCGGTTATTTCTAGGTTATTGTGGTGAAATACTTTCTACAAAAGTTTCTACTGGAAAGCGTGTTGTTTGATGGTTTTGTTTGTTTGTTTTTAAACTCCGTTTCACATAAGGAAGCATGAGAAAATACAAGATATTCAGACCTCCTAAAGACACAGAGAACATAGAAAAAAGGCTGATGTACTGCTAAGGCAAAAGACTATTACACAGTATTTATGGGAACAAAACTGATTAACTTTCACCATAGCTATATGCTTTATTTCTTATTATCGTACAAGTTGATACCCTCACAGTGAATTACACTGGTCGTGAGATAAAAGCACCATAGTTGGCTCAGAAAGCTCTATCTCCCTCCAGAGGTCTCTACTTTCCAAAGAGATGAAGCCCCTGAGCAGAATTTCTACTATTTTCCCTTATGATAACAGAAAAGAAATGTTCCAAGCATCTCAGATATCCCCCAGCATTCCTTAGCTTTTCCTTTTACAAATTATTCTAGCTCCACATTGCTTCATACCAGTCTGGAGACAACCTTGGAGTCAAATTTAATCTTTTCCTCCTCCCCCACACCCAAACATCCACACTACAGATTCAACATGTTATCTGATTTGCCAGAAGCTACATTAAAGGTAAGCTTGGTACCACTCCTACAGAAGTACCTCTCTGAAAAATACAGCTGAGATTTAGAGAGATGCAGGGAAGATGCTTTCTTTTTCCCCAGACTCAGAAAATCCAAGTTTTTATTTCCACAGCATTTTTTTTGTTTGTACATTTCTTCCAAAACAGAGAAGTTCTTAATCTTATCTGCAGCTGAAACAATAGTTTTCAGAAACCCCTGAATGCTAAGGTTTGGGAACATATCTAGAAAAAATTCACTTCCTCCTTCAACTGCACGCCCATTAGAAATAAGTATTTCTATGCTGTAAGTAGGGTAATGCATTTAAGGATAATCACTCTCAATATTCCACGAACTACTCTGAAACCTGCTGCTAGTTCTCGTCATCCGAGACCTATTTCCACAGAAATCGAAGCAGAGCAAATTTCTAAGTGTTCTTTTCTGCTACACTGTCAAAAGCTGCAGACAGAAAGATACATTAGCAAAACCTCTGTTGAGAAGGTACATAGTAAAAGCAAAATCCTCACTGAGTATGGCTAGTATTTAATGTAATAATTACCAAGAAATCTCAAGGTATCTATTACATAGCAGTGCCCCACTAGCAGCAGATGAACAGCGAGTGTGAGAAGACACCAAGTACTCAGATGCAGCATTTGAAAATAAACTGTGTTTGAAACAGTTAAGACAGAGTTTTGCAAAGACTTGAGAAAAACCTGGGTACAGTGAAACCCTATCAACGTGAAGATTTATTTAGATTAGACAAATCAGGGACGGGAGGGGGGGGTAATACATATTATACTGAACATAAACACAAACTTGTTATTAAGGTGTGCTGGGAAGAATAAAAATGTAGGTTCTTGAAATTCCAACACAAAAGTAAGCTTTAGTTACTTATTGCTGAGCAGACTATGCATGTTCCCAGATACTGTCAAGTGAGCTTTACACAAGCAAAACAAATAACTAACCCATTAGCAGCATTTCATGATAAAAATCATTCCTTAGCTTCATCATTAAGCTCTCATCCATCTTAATATGTCCCTTACATTTTATCCATTCTATGGATTTATCAGCTTAAAGGGACTGGTAAGTGTTTTAAGACAGGATGCTTAAAGTAGAAAAAACCCCTCTGAAATATAGAAGGGTGCAAACAAAAGAAACCAATACAAAAACCAAGACTGCTAATTAACAAAATATCACGAGTCACTATCTCAAGGCAACCAGCCAGTTGCCATCTGAAATCAAATCACTGATGACAATTACTAAAGGATATGATGATTACTGAGCAAATGACACATTTCCGATTTGCAAACGGTGAATAGGTATATCAAAAACCTCTTATAAAATCTGTGAGATGGGGACAGAACACAAGGACTTCACTCAGGAGGCAAACTGAATAAAGACAAAACTGATAATTCAGAAGACTAGACTACAGATTTCATAAAAACATCACTGAGATGAAAAACTTCACATTCAAGGACAGACTTGACCATTTAATGGATATTACCACTCCTTTTATGGAACATTGCTAAAAAGCTTCCAAATGAAAGGAAATCTTTTGTCTCCAGTATTAACCACATTTCTTGACACTAGGTGACTTTCTTTTTACTGTGTAAGTCTCACTTTAGTTCACACCTACCTGGCATAAAATGCCTTGGACAGTTTCAAAAACATCAAATGGTATTAGATAGACCTCAAGTCTGATCCCTTATGATGGCAATTTTTCTTTATTTCCCCTCGCTCCCCCATGGCTTGTGGATAAATAATGATGCCATAGTCTAATTCCCAATAACCATGTTCAGTTCTACTGCTACTAGTTGTTGTAAGTTTTATCATACAACCTCTTTGCTGCAAGCCAATGAGTGAAACACAGTCATCTATATCCAGTATGTCCTTGCTATCGCCTGTTTTTGGAAATCACAGTGTGACAAAAAAAGGATAAAATGTGGTGCCCTTGTTACTATCAGCCTGCAATGACTATTAATTTGGGTTGTATGTTTTGGGTAAACAGCAGTCAGCTGTTCTTGTGTTGCTTCAAAAAACTAGTTGTCAATGCTGCACTAAAATCTGGCTGAACACTGGCACGTAAACTGAGTATTTAGTGACGGGACCTCAACTACGAAGTATTAACCTCCAGAAGGAAGCACAGCACATTCCATTTTCATCAGTAAGTACTTTCCTTACAGTGCAGATTTCTAATTGCAATGGCACTGCTGAGAAAGACCACAGACACCAAACCAATTGCTAGCACAGCAAGCCATTAAGCTGATGTTGTAGTGGGGTGGTCACTCCAGTGACTCTGCAGAGAAGTTACTTGCAGCTTTCCAGGCTGTCTGCAAATTCCTTTTGACCATTTTTAAAAAGCTGAAATTTTACAACAATAAAGTAAGCATCCATCACTTCAAACTCTGTGCACATTCTGCTCACACAGATTTAAAATAAAATACTATAAGAAGGAATAATTATTTTCTTTTGAACTCCACCTCTTCTTTCCTGCTTATTTTTCTATTAAAACTCACTACTAAGACATTTTTTTTCTGAATACAGAACTATGGACAAAGCAGCCTTTCACTGACTCAAGAACTGAAGTAGTCTATAAAGCAACTGTTTTCTACATTTCTAGAAACACTGAAAGAAGTTTTGGCAGGAAGAGCCTACTCCCAAAAGCAAATATCAGGGGAGGAGCAGGGAAAGCTCCTGAACAAGTTCTGCTTTCTTTTTCAAGCCACACATTGGCAATATTTTCCCCTCAACACAGAATATGAAGATCCTAAAATTCTTGGTAACTACAGATACTCCTCATAAATTATCCTGAAAAAGCTAAACACCATTTTCTTTTAATGGAGTTCCCTTAAATCCCTTCTCAGCCCAATGACAACAGTTACAATTCTCCACTCAAAACTTCTGTAGAACTTTGTATACAACATTCGAGTTCCAGGAAAACAGAATAACCAAAGAAATGTAGTAAGTAAATCAGTTCATCATCACTACTAAATCCAAGCACATACGTGCGCACTCAAATAGGCATCACCACTTACATTTTCGGAGCACTTATATAGCACGGCATTTTCTTAACAGACTAACAAGGCTTAAAAACAGATTGGGAATCACACACACTCACTAGTTCAAGGGTTTTATGAAAACAGACCTCACTTTCTACACAATTTTTAAAGCCTCTTTCACCTTAAAGAGAAACATTCTACTTCAGCATTATATACCTCAACTGTTACACTACTGTCGCAATTCAGGTAACAGAAGTCAAAACAAGTAATGGCATGGATGGCAGATCTAAATACTTGCAAGGCACAGATGCATGGAATAAAATGATGCCTTGGTTTTGCTTTCCACAAAAAGTCATTAGAGTCATTCCCTTTCATCATGAATTTATACAACCAAAATGAAAAGGTTTATTTAAAGGACCTAAACCATGACGAGAAATGCATGTGGAATGTGTTGGGTATTGATCTGTATACTGTGCATTTGCTGACCCAGGAAAATTCAAACATACACTGGAGAAAAGAGCCAAGACAAACGTGTAGCTTAGCTTGGCTGCATGAAGCAAGAGGTTTATTTGTTTTATCAACACGATTTCCGTTCAGGTTTCTCTGACAGATTCACTCAGTGCATTCTGGAAGAGTCCCCTAAAAAAGCCTTCAGAGATAATGACTTTTTTCCAAGTTGAACAAATTCAACCAAGTGACAGTTACTTGGGAAATGGAATTTAGCAAACACCAAACATCTTGATTTGAAGCTATATGTGTTTTCAGAAAAATATTCTAGAATCTTCAAGATTCTAGAATACTTTTTCTCCTTTTCTTTTTTACTCCTTTTAACTTCCAGTGGCAGTCCACCAACTGCGAGCATTCATCTTCAACAACTATATTTAAAACACGCATGAAATGTACCACTGTCCCACTGGTGTGATCACAAGATGTCATTCATAACAGTATAATTTAACCACACAATTTTCCTGCATGATTTCTATTAACAACCAAGAATTCCAAGAAACTACATACTGTATTTTCTATTTATTAAAATTAGGATGCCTGCATCCTAATCTGATAAAAGGATGCAGAAACAAAAAATTCTATGACTTCAAAAGTCTGACTTCAAAAGTGTGACTTTCAGAAAAGTGAAAGGATTTTATTTATTTAAGCAATATCTATACCTTACGTGAGCTCTTACCTGCTGTTTGTTGCCTTTTCGTGTTAACATGACAAATGGCATTGTGTCTCCAGACTCTGACTCTCCTTCCCCACCTCCAAGCGGGGGACCCTTCTTGAGCTGACTTTTGAGGTGTAGAGGAATAGCAACATCCAACTGATGTACTTTAACAGATTCACCACTCCGTTGCTATTAAAAGAAGTAAATTCTATAAATTATCAGAGGCTAAAAATGTCAGTCTGGCAATGTTCACATTTTCATGACTCAGAAAAGTTTTAACCTTCCAAGAAAACAAAGTAATATATAAATAAAGGTATTAGGCTTTATTATATTTTCCTTCGTTTTTCTTGCTTGTGAAGAAGAAAGTTACAGGGACACATACTTCAAATTTCAAAGGATTTTTAGATAACTTAACCTTGTAAGGAAGGAAATCTAGAGACTTGATTAAACACACTTGAGAATGGTCATTCTACATTCAAGATTCTTTTTTGTAGCATGTTATTAATGCATTCCTCATACAGGGCTTGCAATACTGAGTACTTAAACATTTACCAGATGTGACTTAGAAAAAAATACAGGACTTAAATGTAGCTGCATTTAAATGTATATAACCTTTTAAACATATTAAAACCTAGGCCTGGATATTCTAGGATAAAGTCAGAAGCAATGCACAGTATCTGATGCAGCTATTATTCATCCAATAAAATATCTGTCAGCATGTCATATATTCACTGGACAAATAATACAATTAACAGCTATTTTACTAAAAGTTGCTTATCCAAACATGTCAATTGCAGAGAAGCAGCCACAACTAAGACAAAACCCCCCTGTTCTTTAGTATGGTAAGCTATGCATTAATCTTATTTACTTAAACAAAAAACAACAACAAACCCCAAATACAGTTAGCTGTACAGCAAATTACATTAATTTAAGAAAATAAATATTTATACCTGAAGATTTTCCAGCATCATTTTATCCAACGCCTGAATGAAGTCCTCATCTTCTGCACAAGGGACATGCTTAAGTCCTCCTCCTTTAATCATTACTTCCTATTGCAATGGGGAAAAAAACCCTTCTATTACATTAGATCCAGAAATATGAATATTCAGTCTAGAAATAAGGGTGAAAATATCCTTATTGCTTCTATATAATACAGAATCAAAAACTTAAAATAAATTGTTAAAAAGTTTTCAGCCTGAACTATTTTCTTGAAGAATTTTTTTCTGACGTTTATTGCAGCAATTTTTATGAAGGCTGGCCACTCATTCTGACACACTAGTGTATGCATATAGATACACTTGTACATATTCTAGCTATGGCAACAATACAAAGAAAAGTCTCTATCCCTATCACACCTAAACTAATTTTTCCATTAAAATCCATAAAGTTAGATGGCCTTTTCAATGTGAATACTATCCTTCAGTATTTGGAAAGCACAACATGACAACAAAAATGTTTGAAGTCAGTACTCCAACACATTGTTCTATAATGATCATTACTTTCCTTACTATGTAACTGCAATTCAGGCTCAACTGGATGGGTTCTTTCACTACAGATGTTATAATCTGCCAATCTCAAAGCTGTATTTTAGGAATTTTGCACTCCTTGGCTTGTCTCCTTTTCAGTTTTGAGATCTAGTGCAGAGTAACTGGTTTACCTTGTTGTACCGTATCAGTTTGCTACCATTGCTGGCATTGCAAAACCATCATTTATGCAATATTTTCCAGTCTAGCTACCTGTGAAAGTGCATGGTCCTGTGAAAACATGTTGTAGTAAAGTTGACGGCATAAATATTTTCAGAAGGTAATAATGAAAGTTTGCAAATACAAAAATAAGCTCCAAAATGTATTTGAAAGAATAGCAGGGAGTGTTCTTGTCATGTTTTCCCAGATATAATATGGGCAGCATCAGCAAAAAAAAAAAAAAAAAAAAAAAAAAAAAAAAAATCAGTAAAGAAAACCAAAGATGCAAAAGTCAATTCACTTATCTGAAGTAACAATACATACTGTATTCTCCTCATCAGTTTCATTTTCTTTATTGGAGTCTGTAAGATAATCTGTGTTTTCTTCCTCCTCCTCTTCACCTTCTTCCTCATTGTCAGAGCCCTCCTGAAATATTAAATGTTTAAAATTTGAGAATAGAATAACTTCTTTTAAAACAAAAAAGACCACTTGCATCTGATTCCTCATGCACATTTTCTGCACCTTTCCTACCCTCTCCCCATCCAAACCTGTTTAGTTTAGTTCGGCCTTGGTAAATTTGTTTGTTATTTTTTTTATTTAATGTTTCAGTCAGAACTCACTTAGCTTTATCTGACATTTTCAGAAACATACAGCAGAAAACTGGGAGTAGTGACTGATACACCAGGTGGTTGCACTGCCACTCAGAGGGAATTCAACAAGCTGGAGGAATGGATTGACAAGAACCCATGAAAGTTCAGTGAAGGGAAATGCAAAGTCCTGCATGCAAGAAGCAATAACCCCATTCACTAGTACAGGCTGGAGGCTGCCCATCTGGAAAGCAGCTTGGCAAAGAAGGACCCAGGGTCCTGGTGGGCAGCAAACTGATCAAGAACCAGCAATGCACCCTTGCAGCAAAGGCAGCTGACTGCGTCCTGGGCTGCATTAGGAAAAAGTGTTATTGACAGGTCAAAGGAGGTGATCCTTTCTGCCTGCTCAGCACTGGCAAGACACATCCGGAGTGCTGTGTCCAGCTCTGGGTTCCCCAGTACAAGATCGATATGGACATACTGGAGCAAGTCCAGCAATAGGCCGAAGATGATTAAGGGACAGGAGTACCTGTCGTAGGAGGAGAGTCTGAGAGAGATAGCCTTGTTTAGTCTGGGGAACAGAAGGTTCAGGCTGGGGTGGGAGATCTTAATGCGTATAAACGCCTGACCAGAGGCAGCAAAGAAGAGGGAGTCGGAGTCTTCTCAGTGGTGCCCAGTGACAGACTCAAGAGGCAATGGACACAAGTTGAAAAATTTAATTTAAACATTAAGAAAAAAAGCTTTCTTTACTGTGATGGTGTTTAAACACTGGAACAGATTTCCCAGAGAGGTTGTGGAGCCTCCACCTTTGCAAATATTCAAAACTGGATCAGACATTGCCTCAGGCAACCTGCTGTAGGTGACCCTGCTTTGAGCAGGGGAGGTTGGACAAGACCTCCAGAGGTCCCTTCCCCACCCTCCAACCATTTATGATTCTAATGAAATTATTAATTTGTGAGTGAAGGCACAAACCCAGCCAAACTTCAGGAATTTTAACGCTGAGGAGCATAGACTGAAAGAAAGCTTACTAGTAAACCAACCAACCCAAGCATAAGGAGAAAAAGTGCTTCCTATTTCCTTGATGAACTCGTTTTCTCAAAACACTGCCATCATGATGCCAATTTTGTTGTGTCATAGTGAGAAGTTAGAATTTCTATGTACTCATCTTTTTTTATTGGCTCTATCATTTTTGATTCAAAAGATTATTGGCACAGTAAACAAGGAAGGTTGTTATGCTCTAGAAATCTTTTATTTACTTATATTATACAGGCATAATCTGAACACCTGTTATTTTTCCTGCATGACTGCTTTCACATCTAGTCAACACATTTGCTTCTACAATAGATAAAGAAAATTATCTGGAAGTGTTTTCATGCCAAAAAAATGAAGGCATCTTATTGTTGAGAAGCAGCACATACCCTGAGCAAAGTTGTCAGGTTCAACTTTCTGCCATAATTTCTCTGGAATAAGCCTCAGAAGTTTTCCATATATACAAAACCGGGATGGAAATATCCTCAGAGTACTGACTGGGTTGTGCACACCCACATTTCACCTGCTAACTCTGCGACATAGAAGGGCTTATAGAAGTAATGGGTAATCAAAACATTGATTACTCATTCTTTTTATGCGAGGTAAGAAAAATGATTAAGTTCACCTCTTCTTCTGGCTCATTTACTTCACTTTCATTTCCAGATTGTTCCTCTGTCTCTGCTCCACCTTCCTCCTCCTCTTCATCCTCTTCTAGATTCTCTCCTTCCGTAATGGAATCTTTGGAATCTTTGTCATTCACAATTCCTGAAATTTGTAAAAAGAGAAAGAATTAGGACAAGGAAGTAGAACAGAATTAGGTCAAGAATTAGAACAGATATAGCCACTCAAGTTGTATGTGGAAGATCACTTCAAAAGTCCATTGTTACTGAACACTAAAACTTCCAATGGGTCATAATATTAATTTTCTGAATGAAACATTTCCTATATAGTTACCTTACATGTAAAGGGTAATGATTTCCCTGCCAGGAAAGGAGGAAAACATTATGGAGAATGTTTAAAATCTCCCATAGAACAGCAATCAAGAAGCTGCACTGTGCAAACTGCTTCAAAATATCCTCAAAATAAACATGCAACCTTAATGAAACATGCACTGAAATATAAGCACTAAGTTACAGATGCTCTACAAAACCAGTGGAACCCAGAAGACACCAGGCTTCTGCAGTCTCAGTTCCAGTATTTCACACTACTGTCAATTAATAGCTTTGAAACAACTATTTTCTCAGCCTGTAATAAACCTTTCTGACTCTTTTCTAATGCTCCAAGGCTACACTTGAACCTGAGGATGTAGGTGGCTATATAAAGTCTTTAGAAAACCAGAGTCTCTTCCAAAAGTATCATCTAGTGTGCTCATCCTATTGCAGACAGGACTGACAGTTCTTTCACTGTGTTTTAATTCATCTTGCAGTTTTCCTTACTGACCTGCTCGCCACCTCTATCCCCCAAGACATTTTAGTTTACTCTGTGCGTAAGGTATCAAGCATAGCTCCCTAAACCTCTGCTTTCTTTCAATAAGGTATCCTTCAATGTAATACCCTTCTCTATACCATTCCCACAGTAGTGAAAGATAAGTTTTAGCTCCTTTCAGTGCTTCAGTGCCCAATTTAGTCTTAGACATAGCTTTCAATCAGAATTGTTTTCAGAAAAATATTTAAGAATTGAGCGCAGTTCTGATTCAGGAAAAAATGAAGATCTGTTTTTAGAGAACGGCTATCGCAAAAATTAAGTCATCCAATGCAAAAAAAAGAACAAGCTTCCAGCATACACTATTGTTCCCGTACTTTCAATTTTTTTCATTAATTTACAAAGCCACTTAATCCTCCAGAGGATCATGGTTTGAGCTAGCAGAAAGCAATGCTGATGCCAGCCTTCTGCAACACAGCAGATCTAAGCCAGTAATTTTTCAAAGATTTTACTAAGGAGTCAATACAGTTACTATGCAGTTTGTCATTATACCAACCATACTTAGGGTCAGCTGTTAGCTTAAAGCTTTCTAGATGGCAAACCAACACCAGTTCTGTGCTTGTGGTACTCCTTGTTTGTTCTCTGCCATACACAAAGAACAAATGCAGTAGCATGCTATTCTTAGGCAGAAGTCTAGACTCTGAATATACAAGTGGTTCAGGGTACCCCAGATTTTTTTTGCTCCACGTCCAAATGCTTTTAAGAGATGCAATATGCAGATATGCACAGCCAAGTCTCTACAAAAAAAATAAATCGACTAACATGACAAAGATCAGCTTTTGGAGGAGGTGAATCTTTACAGCCATGCTTGAATTAAAAGTCAGAAATAAGATGTATGGTATATATAGCTGTATAGTAGTAACTGAGGATTTCAGGTCTGTGTGAACACACACATACACACACACTCTTCCTCCTTCATAGTCCAGAGGTTTCAAAGCATTCTTCTTCTCCCCTATTTATAAACACTGTGCTTTTCAAAATCTGTGCTGCTCCATAATGACACAAGAGTTTCTTTTGAATCGCTCAGTGTATTCTCACCAGTACAAAATCACCAGAGCAGCACAGGAACCAGTCAGTCCCCAACTCAAGGTCTGCAGGCAACAAGCCACCCCGCTGTTCTGCCTAGAATTACACCTCAGACTGATAAAGAACAAAGTACATCGTGGTCTTCAGCACAATACCTTCTCAGTGTTATTGTCCATGGGCTGAGGAACTGTGGGGACAAATTGGTCAGGAACTGCAGTTTTACTAGAGCTTTTGCTAAAGTAATAAAAAAATAATTTCCTTCAGATATGCTCGTACCTATTGTCATAGCCTTCAAAGGTCAGAAAGGCAGATGACAACTTTTCCAAGACCACCTTCAAACAGTCCTAATAGGAGGACTAGGAACTATCCCACCCTATACTGATGTTTAATAGCAAGCCAGTGATATCAACACCAAGAAAAGCAACACACCTGGGGAGGACACATGACACAGCCTCCTTTTTAAAGGCTGTACTGTTGATGGGCTTTGCTCATGCTAAAACTAACACAATAAAAAGTTCTCCAACACTAGTTCACGTTCAGTGACCATGTACCTCCCCCATAACTACACCAATTTCAATTGCCATATTGGTGGTGATTCAGGAAGCAGAAGTTCTTATGATTTGTAGGAGGGAAGTGCCGAGTATCTTCCAAAAGAATATTACAGTTTATGTAACTAGTGGTAAACTACTTCTTGGTTATCACTCTGAGAGCATAAAAGCTAATAATTTAGATGGTACCATAAGGAAATTTTTATCTGCATTTCACTTGCTATGTAGGTAATTTTAAGGTGTGTCAATTAAACGAACAGCATATTAAAAATATAAATACCTTCTAAAACAGACGTTGCAACATTTCACCTTGAAATTACGCACACACATCCCAGTGGATTAAAGGATTATTAAAAATTGAACTTGTCTAACTAGATGAAGTGCTATTAAGGCTATAATTAACACTTAAAAGTGTAAAATTTACATATAAAAGCTTTTCATGACCAAGCTTGTTTTCTAATCTTCCATTTTTATTTGAAGACAACTCAATTTAATGAGAACGAGCACAGTAGTATCCCAATAATTACTAAGAACTGATATGTACAAAACATTTAAAGGTTAATATGATGATAGTAGCTTTAGATACACACCGACCAGTATTTGGTCAACTGAGCTATGCTACAAACCCAGCCATTTTCTCCTGAAATTGACTGATTTTTAACACAGCAAGATTTTTAAATACACATCACAGTAGTCTTAGCAAGAACTACAATCTAGCATGCAACCTAGCTGACAGATACATTTTAAGAAGAAAAAAAAAACCTTTAAAAATCCAAGCAAAGCTCTAATTCGTGAAAACGAAATCCTCCTCTGTCCTCTACTGAAATGTAAAACCCATTGAAAATTACTCCAAAGGAAGCGTAAGGCTCAAAAGACCTGACAGCATGTTAAAAGCAAAACATGTTCTCTTTTACTGTAGTCTTACACTAATGCTTACTTTGACACAGCAGCTCTAGTCAAGTCCAGAACTGGGGAAGGAACACAAGAGTTGCAAGCAACCAATATACCAAAATGCCCAAGCTGGCTTCCATCAGTGCCCACAAACCACCAGGCTGCAGTAACTCAAGTGTGCAGATACTCCTTGCTTTTTGTAGTAGAATGTGCTTCCTAAATTTTTCTGATGAAAGTCATAGTTTTCTTCCTCATTATTTGCACCATGCTACTGATTTTTATACATACACACACACACTTCCCCTCTCCAAATACTACTATATTAATAGTGTTCATACTGACTTTTTTTTTTTTTAAGCACTCAATCACTTTAGAGTTATGGAGATTCTATATGAGCTCCATGGTGATCAGAAAAATGCAAAGAAGTTACAAAAATATTTCTATCATGAGAATAAAAAGGTCATATCATGAGAATAACAAGTTACCTGTCATCATCATACAAAAGATAATTTTAAGAAATACAGGAATTGTCAAAAAGACCTCATTTCCCTCACATATTTTCTTACCTAATTTTATTAAGAATTCTCTTTCCAAGTCTTGCACCTGTCTGATAGCTTCTTCCAGGGAATTGCAGAGCTTTATCTTTGGTCTCAGCAGTTCCAGTGTATCGCTGATCATATAGTCTATGTCTATAGGAAATGGGTGGTCTTTTGTCCAAACATCCAGACTTTTTTTCCACCAAACATACCGCTAGAACACAAAATATTCAAATAAATCATTTGCGCACTGGCATTTATAAACTATTCAACTTATGAAGTTTGTAATGCCTAGCATGTTTGTGCAGTAGAAAATGCAGAAGATTTTACATCACTACTCTTATTTCATACAACTATTAAAAATTTTCATATCCATTGTTATCAAACGATGTTTAGTGATATCACATACATTAAGAATATGCTCTGTTTATCATAATGAGTGTTACATAATGAGCGCACAAAGACTGAGCAAAAAAGCACTGAAAAGAAAGTGCCTTCTAAGGGTAGATACTTTCCACAAGAGATGAGCACTTAACAGTCGGCCAGCTTTCAATTCTTTCCTCCGTATTTTTTCAAGAAAATTAATTCCCCCAAAGGCATATTATGGGAGGAAGAGGGGAAACATCACAAAAAATTTTAAGACTACAGCTAGCATGAAGTGACTTATCCAGTTTGCTTTATAACAAATTAGCACATAGCTCTTACAATAAAATTGTAAAAAAATAAATTCTGATCTTAAGTGGACCTAACAGTAGACTGAGAACAAAGGTGTTGCAAAAATTGCATCTGAAAATGAAGTAGTAGTAACAACACCTATTTAAAAGGTGACATGATCAAAAGGAACACTTGCTGAAATTGTTAGGTGTAATAAAAATATAATGACTTCTTCACCGACAAGTTTATTTTGGGTTTAAAAAATAGGACCACAATGTACTTCAAAAAATCATTTTACAGTGTACTTCAGAAAAATCATTTTACAACTCAGATACACATGAAGGATATGCACCCTGAAGGTATGAAATAAGTCGCTATCACCTTAATTTTAAATTATACTACAACAAGGATATTAAGAGAGAGAAGCAGAAAGAAAAAGAAATTAAGTCTAAAGAGTTTTAGCATGAACTCCATGGACTGGAATTCCACATTTGCTCAGAGGAACCCATTCCAGTGTTTAAACACTCCTGTTATGAAATCTTCCCCTGGACCCCCCCCCCTTACATCTACTGAGTCAGAACTTTCCTTGCTGCAACTTGTGACTGTTACTTCTCATCCTTTCACTGTGCATGCCTGAGAAGTTATCTGCCTCCTCCTTCTCTACAAACACTATTAGCTGAAGACAGCAACCCAATTAGCACTCTTCTCCAAGCCGAGCAAACCCACAATGTGAGAACTGAGAGCCTCCTGATCATTTTGGTGACCCTCCACTAGACTCAGCTCAGTTTGCTGATGTCTCTCTCATCTACCAGGGAGCCCTGAACTGGAAGCAGTGCTCCAGATTTGGCCTCACAATAGCCAAGTAGAAGGGAAGGAAAGGGAAAGGAAGAGAAAAAAGAAGCAAACCCCCCACTTCCCTCAAGCTGCTGGCTACACTCTTGCCAACACAATGCAGTACGCTGTAGGTCTTCATCACCCTAATGGTGTAGAGCTCAATGTCACATTCATACAGTCCAGAAGCCCTGGCTCTATTCCTGCAAAGCTGCTTTCTAGGTAGTCAGTGACAGGCTGTATTGTTGCATGGAGCTCCTCCATCCCAACTGGAAGACTTGATATGAATTCCAGTGAAGATTAAGTAAGGTTTCTGTCAGCCCATTTTTCCACTTGCTGAGAGCCCCTGAAGGGGAGAACCTAAACCCTTCTGTGAATCAATTGCTACCCCAGCGTTCTGCAAGTTTGTTGGAACAGTAATATCTACATATAACTGAAAATACATGTCACTTTAGAATAAAACTGCTATTAGACAGACAGGATTCTAAAAATTATAGTGCTAGAGAACGAGAGAAATATGTAACAGACTGACTTACACTAGCTTGTTAAGAAAATCTACAGAACTATATAAAACTTAGTTTAGAATACCTGAAAATATACAAGGAAGCAATCGAGTTTTCGTTTGCTGGATCCTCTGTCAAAATATTGCCCACAGGTATCGAGGATAGTACAAACTAATCTGATTCTGAAAAGATGTTCTGGAGGGTCCAGTGGACTAGGACTACCATCAGGGTTCACACCAAATGATGTGAAAGAATACAGAGTTCGAAATATTACAGCTGATTCCACCATTCGATAATTGTAAAGCTCCCCCAAAAATTTGGCACTGCTGATCCGCCGTTGGTTAAACTTCGGCTGGTTAACCTTTATCAAAGAACAAAAAATTCACTTTAACATGCAGACACAATAGAATATTTGTAAAACATTTGTTTTTCTTTAAAAAAATAAAACAAAGAAGCAGTCTAAAAAGATTGATAGGATTTGTTATAATAAAAGATGGTTATTTATGGCTACATACATTACACAAAATTAAACATAAAAAAGTAGTTATGAAAGCTGGTCAATTAGTAGTTATTATAAAGTTAAAATACATTTAGCATACACTATCTTAAATCTACGATGATTTATCATTGCCCAGAGAATTCCTGTAATTATGACATCTATGAAAATATGGACTAGTCTCCAAAGGTACTTGAAGTTGCATGAATCTGACAACACTGTGAAGGAATAAATTGGCCCTTAATATGTTAAGGGAAGCAAAACAACTGTCCTAGTAACCTTTGCAGTTTGTTGGGGTTTTTTTCGGGGGGTGTGTGTATTGTTTTTTTTAATTTAAATAAACTTACATAAAACAAATGACTGAGGTAGAAAAGTCAGACAAAAATCCAGAATCCAAGGATTCCTTTCTTTAAGGAAGATTATTTTACTGTTTTCCCTTCAACATAAGTAGATGAGTACAGCTTAGTAAGAATGCTGGTTGTTTACCTCCATTCCTAGTCGAATATCCTCTAGCACTCCATCCACAACATGAATTCCAACATCTTCCTGGTAAAGGACCAGCCCTGCTAAGAGGTTGGCTACACAGTGAATACTATTGTATTTCACATTCCAGATGTTGATCATACAGCATATAACATAGTCTTTTACTTCTGCATCCTGCCAAGGCAGCTTGCGCATCTGTCTCAGGACCTAAACCAAATTTTAAGACAAGCTTAACATTCTAGCAGGCAAACTATCAAGATACTCACTGTCATCCCGTGTCTCACAGCTGGGATGAAATCCCTGTTAAGCACCTGAAAGCAACCTCATTCTTTTTCAAGCATCCTCCAGATCTGCAGTAGCTATGGAAAACTTCATGTATGCAACCCAACTGGTGTCCTCTAGCTACTAATCAAGCTGTCCAAATCTGTTCCATAATTTCCTTCTTCTTACAGTCTGTATTTAACTGTAGCCTTTTGTCTCTTACTCTGAACACAAGATACTTAGCACAAAGATTCTCATTTCATTCTCTATTTGTTCAGCACTTAATGCTGCGGAGAATGCAGGTCCATGACTGGAGCTTCTATGCATTACAAAAGAAATGAAGCTATCTTAACAATCAGGGATACAAAAATGATCCCTTTTCCTTGCAATTAAAAAATTATAACCCTCCCCATGCCCTTCAAAAGTTAGTACTATATCACTTCCAGTAAAATCTGTATTAAAGATTTCAAAAGGATTTACCTTCTCTGTGGTGACCTTGGACAGATCCTTATAAAGCAGCTTACGAATATATTCCTGCAAAGGAGGACGTTTTTTCTTCACAGTTTTTTCAGCTGGAGGGGGATTACAGTAGTAATAAGCATTTTCTACCATTGTAACATAGCGTGCATCAAGATGCATTGCTTGCTTTTTTCTCATCATTTGTTCCTGGAAATAAATACAAATGATCAGTTAAAGATGATGACATACTACATTTCCAAGCCAAAGGCCGTTACAGTTACATTTGGGATAAAGGAAACATGAAAGATTGCAGAAAAGTAACCTAAAAGCTTGGGTAGAGAGAAGAAAGGACAAAGCATATATATGGTTGTGTGTTGCTATTTCCAAGGTCATTTTCCATACAAACCCTATTTTTATAATGGTTCACCTGTGGTGAAAAAGGTTTCAGAAAGTTTAACTTGAAATCTAAATGTTACTGCTTAGATAAATGGTTATTATTAGCTGTTCTATTCAAAACACGATTTCATTTAACTAAAGTAGCTGAAATATTGATGTCTTGACACAAGCATAGTGAATAATCATAAGAAGGGCAATCTACTTTTAACATCAGTATGCAACTCCAGAGAGTTTATATTGATGTTTTCACATGAATTTTTAATAGTTTAGGCAATGGCAATCTTTTTCTCCATATTTCATTTTGGGTATGTACATTAAAATTTATTTTGTGGATATTAAAAATCTCTTGTATCTAAAAATTCTGTACAATAACTAAAGTAGCAGCTCTAAGTTGCTGATTTTTACACTTAAAGATGAGGACAAGCTTAATTCCATTATAAAATATTTTTATATGCATATGTATTTATATGTAAATATGTGTGCAATTCTACAAATTCCATTAAATTTTTATGTACATCATATGATCCTATATATTCTAAATCACTCTAAGGTGGTTCAACAGGAAAAGAAACTGCACTGGTGTAGACTTTATTTTTAATAGAGGTTGTTTACACAGTAATTTACAGCAAACAGATAAACAAAACTAACACGGAAGTACTGTTTTATCACTGCACACAAATGTTAGTATATATATTCTTACAGTCCAATAAATCAATGAAAAGAGTTTAAACCTTCTTTGATCACTGGTGAAGAAGCAGAGTTTTTCCTGCTGGTGGACTTTCCACTAAATTTGAATAATTTAAAATTTCTTTTACAAGGCAGTGGTTCAGTTCAGCTGAAATGCAAACATACTCCAACAGCTCCTTAACCTTGAATTTCAGCTGGTAATTTAACGAGGAAGAGTAGCTTTGTGTAACATAGTAACCCAACAAATAACATAGTTTTCCTCCTAGATTTTATGCTTCTATTGCAGGAGGGTCTCAGCCTGACACCAACCCTAAGGCATTTAATTTTTAACCTTTTCCATGTCACAAACACCCACCCCTTTTATTCCCTGAGGGTGTTCCTTTCCAAATGGGAACTTTCTGTCAAGTAGCAGCAAGTTTACCTACAGGTGCTTAACAGATGCACAGCGCTTTTAACAACCGAGTATATAAATTGTTTTATGTGGAGGAAAAAACACTTACAGTACCAAGCTCCAAAACCTTACTGTGCCATGTATGTTAATATTACCTTTGTAAATTTTTCACCCTTTCTAGATGCATCAGGAGAAAATACATCTTTGCTTCCCTAATGACATTTATCATGTTTTATTATAAACTGAAAAATGAAGTGGGGCAAAGTAAAGCATTACAGAGAAAACAACAGAAGGGCTTGCAAATAAAATTTAAAAAACCCTAAAACTACATAATTTGTACATTTTCCTATTATAAAAAATTGCACATTATGCTGTAAATAACAGGTTATAATTAAGATGTTTCTTCCCAGAAGAGACAATATGCACTACCTCAAGTCTCAAAATCACTGTAATTTATCATTTTTTTTAGCAATCCCAAGCATACATTCTAACTCTAACTGGATAGTACTAGTCAATCTCTATTAAAAGTCACTACCATTTTAAGCAACTGTGTGTGTTTCAATCCTCCTTCATTTAAGGCATCAAGTCAGATGCACAGGCAGGAAAGAGAAGCCATAACAACACACAGCCTACAATAACAAAAACCTTGACACATTTCAGAAGAAAAAAGCAAGACCTGCAGTCTAAAGTGCTTTGAGCTAATTAACTACTCTGGCTCTTCATTTCAGCAGGCTAAAATGAAGAACTACAAAGGTAAAGCATTACATTTGAAGATAAAGTTTCTGTTTTTCCTTTGATAAAAAGAGATCACAAACAACATTAAAATGGCCAAGTTAAAACAGTAAAAGGGTTTGTTTGGTTTTTTGGGTTTTTTTTTTCCCCTTGGTGCATAACAAAACCTCTCTGCATGTGGCATATATTGCAGATGCATTTCAAAAGAAAATCTGGTGAGAATTAGGAGTTGCTCCTCTGGTTAGTAGTCTTGTTCCTGCCCCCTCCAAACCTGGTAACACCAATTTGCATCACAAGAAATCGAATTTTCACAAAGCAGCACAAAAAAAAAAAGCCTCCAGTAAAACCTAAGCAGCAGGAAAAGCCCAATTTAGAAAAGTATTTCAGCATGCTTGACATTTAAATTACTAGATTGTAGTAAGATACTGAAACTGCTCAGTTCCTCCTTCCCTTTACTACTTACGCTGCTCTGCCCTGCTTCTTGTTCCAACAGTTCAAAATAAAAATTTTGAATTTCTTGGAAGCACACTATTGTTATAGTGAATTAACACAGCCTCGTTCTAACTACAATTACTTTGTCACAGCCTCCGTCTGTACAATGTTCTCCCAGTTTCAACTCCACCTATAAGAGGAGTCATCCCAAGAAATGAGCCACCATATAGCTTAAGTTCTGTATGTTTATAAATACAAGTGATCTTGCCCTAAAGCTTAAAAAGACAGTTTGACACAATTGTCTAAGTTAAAGGATTAAAAAAATTCATCAGAAGGCTTTTAATCTCAAAACTTCAAATATTCTTTTAACAAGACTACAACAGCGTAACACAAGATTTTGACATTTTAACATGACTACATTACAGAAATATAGATCAAGATAATGCTGATCTTCCTTCCAAAGCACCAATTCAAATAATCCATTTATCAACAGACCGATACTAAAGCCAAGTTAGTTTTACATTAATATTTTAAATTATATAAAGGACATGGGATTCGAAAGACTTGCCAAGAAGAATGATTAACAGAAATAAACATTGCCCTGATAAAAGAATACTCTTTAAATAATTTGCAAAACATGACAGTAGCTCTACAAAACCAGAATGTGATCATTAAACATATGTCTAAGTCACTTAGTGACGCTTACTTTTAAAATCCATTCTTAACTATGATAACCAATAATTATTTGGAAGATCAACAGGCCTTAATTCTACCCTTAAGTGTCATTGATAAGATCAGCTTTACATATACTTAGACTTTTACCATGAGATCCTAATTAGCTTGCTTTGGGAATAATCTTTTCTACAGTTAACACTAACTGGTACCATTAAGACTATGATCCAATTTGTATAAAACTATTTAAGTCAATATTATTCTCTATAGTTTCTGTAAGGCAACGTTAGAAGATGCAGCTATTAAGATGGTTGTAGAATATAAATCTATATAGCCTTTTTTACATTTTAATCAGTACTTGCCATCTCTATCTTCTCTTGGTTCCTCAATGCATAAGAAAAGACTACTTATCTGACACCTTGTGAGGCTTTATGCCTCAGTTATTGAACCAGTGTTTGTGGTTTGTCTTGCACTTCACATTTAAGTCATGTTTAGCATTCATCCAGCAGATTTCAGCAATATAGCTAGCAATCAGCATTTCTGTAGCACGTAAGACTAAAAGCAGTCAGTTAGTAAAAGCAGCTCTGGTAAAGGTATTTAATTTTCCCTGACTTCTAAAATTTTTGTCATCTACAAAAAAATGGTAGCAATGAGTAAAGTGTCTTTTAAAGATAATGGAACAGTGTTTTCAGGGAGAAAATACTTGATTATGAAAAGGAATATATTTAACAATAAAACACATCAGCTGACAAACCTTTAGAAAACTGAGATACAAACCTTTCATAATACAGAGTATACCACAACAAAAGCATGAGCCAAGAACTTGCAGTTAATTTGCCCATCTCTTTCCAGTAAACAGATTATTCAGTGCTCAAATTCACAAACTAAGAGACCCAAAGCTAGTCCTTGTTATTTTGAACCCTTTGCCAGTACTTATCTAGACTTATGGATACCACATCTACTCTTACCTTTATTACCAATTTCTAGTTCCAAAACCCCTATCCTCTAGTGTCTTCATGAACTTTTTTACACAAATTCAGAACCTCAGATCGTTACGCAGGGCACAGAAACCACCTCTTTCAGAATTGTTTTCACCTCCAGTTGAAATATCTTATCTCTGGTTCCTTTTGCTACCATTTCCCCCCTCAAATAGTATCTCAGGCATGTCCAGGTACACTACTTCTTTCAAGGTCATCCTCTGTTTTTGTCCTATCTCTGAATTATTTGTAGTTCAAAGCAATAGCTTTTTGCTTCAGAAATTTAATTCTTTACATTTTCTTTTAAATCATGAACAGATTTATAGGTCAACTGGAGTTCTCCAGAATCCTTTCAGAAAGTTATTCTCACGGGAGGTACAATCTCAGAGCTGAGACATCACTGTATATGAATAACAAGATGATGCAAGTCCATAGGACTACAAACAGGCTGATAGTGCCAAAGCAGCCTAGGACTTGAACATATGTAACACCAGCCCATCTCGACCCATTCCACAATGAGGAGGCAAGATTTCAGGAAAATTGATTCATTCTACTCCCATACTTGTGTCTGTTCCTATTAAAGAACTAAGAATGTTTTCCTTTGAGCATACAAGATAAAACTTAATTAAAGTTTTCACTTACTAGTGCTCGAACATTGTAACTCATAATTAAGATACCAGTTACGATAATCATTATGGTCAGACCACACCACAAAGCCAGAAAATAAAAGAAGTAATTGGTTTAATTCAGTACATGACACCCTCCCCATAACAAAATGAGTTTTTTCTTACCAAAAGAACACTAGTTCTTAAGTGAGATTCTGGTGATCTAAAGAGAAATCTTCCACAGGTTTCCAGCAGAGTACATGCCATTTCAATATGGTGATGAGAAAAGTCTGACAGAAGCATCTGATATATAAAAAACCCACAGCATGTTAAACATCTTTTTCAACTGCAGAAAACAGTAAGTTATATCTACTAGACTTTATACGATTGTGGTATTCCATATTCTTTAAGAAAAAAATGTAAATTGATTTCACTGATCAGATGTTAACAAAATTCAAAATATTAATCTCATTAAGAAGTACTATAAGAACAGTCTAGACCCAAATTTAGGCTCCAGAAACCTTAAAGCAGGATACTTCCTAAGACAAGCATAAAAAGACTACAATATTAAAACAGACACTATAATCTCTAACCACCAAATAATCTTGCACAGGGAGACAGTAACCTCAAAGCACATCAAATTTAATTGTATTGTTTACATAAAGCAGCAACTAAAAAAATTAATTAAAAAAAATGTTACAATATCTTATAGATGAGAAAAAAAAATTACATTCTCTCATCATTTTTCCTAAGGATTCAATAGGCTTTGATACCTAACAAGACAACAAATAGAAGCTATTCCTAGAGGAAGTGATCTTAACCTCTGTGAGTCTTCAACCACCTTTTATAAAAGGCACCTTTATTTTTAAAACCCATTTTTAATGAGACTTGACACCAAAGGCAAGTTTGAATGTTTATCATCATGCAAATTGAGATGATACAGTCAAAGATTAATGCTTTCCGAAGACTTATTTCATTCCTCAACAAAAGCACCCGCTAAGATGGCATAGAAGCCTCTTGTTGCATCACTGAAAAGCTTTCTGCCTTTAACCTCTCCCCCCTACTGTTATTTTCTCTGTAAAAACCTTAATTGAAATCAACATATTGGAAAGAAAAGCTCACTTCCAGTTTTGCAACATAGAGCAGATGAATAACCAGCAATGTCTACGATTGCTTTACAAAGAAAATTATTAGCAATTTGGCTATGTCCAAAGATGGAAATTTATTTTAATATACTCCTACCATCAGAAAAATTAAAACATTCTAACTTCTAGAACAGCTATAAAAGTTGTCTTATACACAGTAGCAATAGGCATCAGGATTTAAAACATAGAATCATAGCATCACAGATAACATCAGCAACGGATACATGAAGGGGAGCAGGATGGGGATACACTATCAGCATACACAGTAGTGTACTGTAGCACAGGACTATCACAACACTAACCTTTAAACAGTGGAGAGTATCATTTTTGGAGAACATCTTAAACTTTGTAAGCTCACCAATAAATCTCACAGTTTTATTCTTTGTTTCAATGTTGATCTGGTCCTTTTTTCTTACCTAAAAAAAAAAGCATTTGATTTTAGGCCCTCAAAAATACCTACCCAAATGTGCTTTATAAGCTTGGGAATTTGGAAGCATTTGATATTTGTTTGGTTCCTTATGCTCTACCTTTACTTATCACCGGATTTCTTAAAAGTCTCTCTACAACCTTGCTTCTTCAGAAGCTTTTAATTCCTTTCCCCACCCCCATGCCCTCCCAAAATCCTAAGTGCTCTAACATACCTACAGTTACAGACACACATCAACCTGGGACACCCCCCCCCCCTTTGCCACAGTGAAGTAGCAGTTAAGTATTCTGGATTCTGTATTTTTAGAATCAATTAAGTAGTCTCTGTATGAACCACTCGTATAGTCCCTAAGGAAATATTAAACATTAACAGCTTTTTCAAGTCAGGTTTAATAAAGTGCAGACCTTTTTTTGTTTCCTTTTCTTTTAAAATTACTGACATCCAGCATAATTTTACTAACAAAGTACAAATTTATATCTATGTCCAAACATAATCCATAAAATACAAAATTGTAATTCTCCCCAACAGAAATAGCTTTTCCTGAGAACAAACGGTTAACTTCAGATAGTTAAGACTTAAGTAAGTCTGAGCAATTCATACACATTTTTAATGTCAATACTGGAGGAGGAGGAATAGAAATCTGAAGAAATCACTGTGCACCATAACCACTTTGATTACACAACTCAGAGCAAAGTGAAAAAACAACACTGAAACATAAACTTGTGAGGAATAGAAAATTTTGGTTGATGAAAACTGTAAAAAATAATTTGAATTAAGCATTATATTACAATAGTAACCACTATATTACAACGGTAACTTTGTAGTGGGGAATGTGTTAGAATAGGTCAGTTCCCATTTTAAATGCAAGTTAATTTACAGAAAACTCTTAACACAGTTGGAGCACAATTTCTAATTTTTGCAACTGTTGTAACTGCTGTATTGTTCATTTTAATATATATATGCAGACATATATGGTAAGTTGTAAAAAAATTTTTAAACTTACAAATCTAATATTCTAGAACAAAACCACTCAGATGACAGAAAAATATTCACTAAATTTAAGAACTGGCTTCTACGTAACATCGTGTTGTTTTATTCCCCAAAGGATGACTATTATTAGACAGGTTAATTTGACTGCGAAAAACTAAAACAACAAAACATACATGAAATCTGAAATCCCCTTTCAGCATGGAACAAAGATCCTCTGCTACATCAGACATACAGGGATGCAATGTGGCAACCAGCCTTGCATAAAACGGTAGCAAATCCAACCTGCAAACAAATAAGATCATAAAATAGACAACTAATTTATAGGCAAAAATATATTTATGCCTACAAGCATGGGTACCATTTTACTTGTGGTAAGAATTAATGTGCATATACTGACAGAACTACATACATGCAATTTTACAGGCTCACACTTTAGAATGCGGTATCGTTTAAAAATAACAATACAAGAAGATGTACTACCACATCATATTGGAATCCTTCACAGTTAGTTTCCTTTCAAAACTACTGCCTTACTTGAAATGCCAAACACCATATTAACTATGGAATTTGACCTTTAAGAAATTACCAGATGCAAACAAAATTCAGATCCCTCGCAATATGTAAAATTAAAAATTCTTACAGACAACTCCTTTTGTTATTGCAATTTTTTTTTTAGTAGCAGCAGACATAATCAGGAAGGAAAGAACATCTTTATCTTTAAGACTGTGAACTTCTAAATTAATGTAGTAGTTATTACATAAAACAAAGTTCTGCAGATGTGATGTGGCAACCCTTTCCCCCAAAATTCAGCTAGTATTCCCACAGATGGTAATATTTCAAAATTTTCTGTAGAACTTCCCTTATTTTCTTTTCTCTTTCCTTGATTACATGCCTTCATACTCATTTCATAGTATCACGTTTCCCTTAGGGAATTTTGGAGGGCAATTTCTGTTTTCCTTAGTACTTTGTTTCTTTCCATCAAAGACTAGCTGGCTGTAAAAATGGGATAAATGCCCTTAAACCTGGTTTGTGGCATCATGTAACAGGACACACAACATAACACAGCTGCTTTGCATAAATGTGCATGTACCACTTTTAAATACAGAGAAACCAGCTGCACTCTGAGGCCTCATAATATCATTTAACAAGTTGAAGAAAGTATTTTTGGTTTGTTTTCAGAACATAAGATAAAGCTGTAAACAGGTGAACTGTGGAACAAGCCCACTGTTTTAAGGGGAGAGAAACATCTTAAGTTTGCATGCTTCATGCGAGAAATTGCTTCTAAGGGAAAAATGGATCTTGAGTTTATGCTTTGTGAAGGATTAGGGTTTTCCCTACTGCTAGGGAAAAGAAAAAGGAAAAAAAAAAAAAAAAAAAAAAAGATGCTGGCAAAAAAACCTAAAGGTACAGTCGATACATAGAGCTTGCCCTGGCACAAAGTAAAACTGGAAAAGCATCAAGACAAAAACCCCAAAAACAAAGCATACACGACTGCCTCCCCTCTCCTTTCTACTGCTATGTCACTAGCGCACATTTCCAAAATCTTTAATGTCTACTCACAGAATAGAGGGATAATTACGTATTTAAATTGTGGATTAGAAGCATCAGAATATACTACCTGAAAGAGGCATAGCTAAGCAGCCTGTTGATAATACATAAAACTCCTGGTGAAACATTGCAGGTATCCCGGTTACCTATTTAACAGTTTTTATTCTCTCTTGTTAATCAATAACTGAAGCAGTGTTTACATTTTTCAAGCTTGTTGGAACACACAGTCAAGGATGACTAGCCACAGCAAATTACTATGATTTTATTAAGCACTTAGCCATTAACTCTCAGAGAAGCAGTGAAAGTCTCATTACCTCACTCACACAAATCTAAACTAAAAAAGGACTTTGGCCAAACTGAGGGAGCGTATTTTAATGGAAGGGATTTCTGTATGGCATCTCTTTTAAGTCAAATATGAGAAAGTTTTATGCTGGTCTGAACAAGTACCTGCTTGCTGAGAGCTAATAATTTCATCTCTGTAAACTGAACATACCTGGGGGAAAATCAAAGTCTTAGAGCACATTGTTGTTATTCCCTCACAGAACACAAAAGGTTTCTTCATGGGGAAGAATACTAAGCCTGGGTGTTTCTAAACAGGTGAAATATAATAAGGAGAAGCCTTGGGTCAATTACTGTGAAACTGGCAATCAGAGATTGAATCCATTCCCTCTCTCACAGGTGACACAAATTCACATTCAGAAGTGGAGAAATTGCAGTATCAGTGGCACCATCTACTGGTACCTCCATTAAGGCTAAATCTAACTATGGTTTTTTTTGTTTTCTCCAAAAGCATTTCTTTTGCTTGAGAAGGCAGGCAGAAATTACTTAAAAAACCCCACAAAACCCACAGTATTGCTTTCTCTTCCTGCTCTTCTACATTATGAAGCAAGATCTAGCATCAGGGATGAGTCAGTTACTCTCTGAAGCCTCTGTTAAGCACCCTGAATATAAACTACTGTAGTAAAAAAACACTACTTCTGACCATTGTCATTTTGACCACATACCTTGGATTGAAATCTAGTCAACTCTGGATCACATGGACACTTAGCTCAATTAAAGTCCTAATTGCAATCTCTCTAGAACAGGTGCATCCAATATTTTATACCCAGAGAGCGTGAAGGGGGCATTTTGTACGTTTATTAACTGCGATTCTACCAGAAAGACAGCTTAAAGAATGAAGCAACAGAGCAAGAACTCCTGCCTCATAAGCATCATCATAATCCAGATAAATGCCGTGTATTCACAGGGCCTGAACAGGTACAAACTGCCAGCCATGCTGCTCAGTGGGAACAGAATGATGCTGTGGAATTGGCATGCTATCAGATAAGCACTTTTTGCTTTTGTTTCTTTAGCCGTGGCATAAGCTCCTTATCTCAGGCACATCCCTCAATTTTATCCTTAAATGAGAAAGGCCACAGAAACACTGGTAAGTCAAGTTCAACTGAACAAAAAGGGGGTTGGACTAGATGACCTCTAGGTGTCCTTTCCAACCCAAAACATTCTATGAAAAAGGATGTTGCTGCTGAGTTCCCAGGATAAAGAGCTGAAAGAAGGTAGATTCTAGTTGTAAACAGGAGGTTTACAACTTCCGAGTTAAAATGCTCAGAACAATTTAACACTCAAGAAGCAGCTACCTGCTGAATTAAGAACAGTCAACAATAATGCTAAAAATTTCCATATGATGAACAACAGATCTCTTGCTTAGTAAACTTGCAACTTCATACATCATCATATATGCGAATGGCAAAAAAAACCCCAAAAAACCCCCAGAAGCCACAACAGCCCCAATTTACTGTTTCGCATTTGTCTAGAATTGTCCAGAACTTAAGGCCTAAAAAGAGATTTTAAATTTCTCATATTGAAATTGAAAAAATTCAACAAAATTGCAGTATGCAGTTAAAACATAAATAATTATGTGTATCTGTACAGGAAGACAATTCAGTTAGATAGCAAATAATTACACATAAATGCCCTAAAGCTGCGAGCAGTATGGGTTAAATCATTGTACGGTCACTTTCAAGGCAAATTATATAGTCCTGAATGAACAGACTAGTATTTAGGTTTAAATCAATTCTCCAATGCAAATCTGAAAGCCACTTGTATACTAGCATTGAAAAATCTTTTTAAAAGGCTTCCTATTCTGCTGGGTTGGAGGTTCAAATCGCAGCTGAAAATGTAAATGCAATCCGTTCATAAGTACTCAAGAGAGCAGTGCAATGATGTTGTATTTTAACGCTAATCTATAGTTAGTTGAGGAAAAAGCATCCTTTCTTGTCAAATGAAGTTTTCTGTCTTGAAGAATCCTGCATTTGTCTCAATCTATCCAACTCTAGCAGGAGCAAGAAAGCTCCCTGGCAACACTGCACAACAACTTTGACTTTACAGTGTCTGCATTGCTCCTCAAACACGAAACCAGTTTTGTACTTCCTTGGTAAAAATTGTTGTGCCTGCACATTTCCTAAAACTGATCTCTCAAGAGAAGAAACAGAACTTACTCCGTTATTGAAGTATCTTATTGTGGCTGCCAACATAATAGCTAGACTTAGGCAGCGTTATCCAATATGCTTGGACACTAAACACTTCTGGAAAATACACTGCTTTATCTACATCCTATAAAAACACCGTTCCTCTGAACCTTCTGCAACAAAACAAAACAAACAACCCCAAAAAAACCCTCCTCAAGAACATAACCACAACTAGCTTTCTTCTCCCATGGTATTCAGGAGAGATATTGCAGAAACTCCTGGAATTTGTAAACACTAGCATGCAACAACAATAATGGAAGATAAAGACATAGCATTATGGCTCAGTGAAGAGATACAGGAAGCAAAAATATCATTAAGGCATAGTATACAAAGCTTCAAAGCAGCGTGTTAAACAATTTTTAAATTAATTTGTAGCATTTTGTAGCAACCATTAGTACTGTGTGCCATATACACACCTGGAGTTTTACCACAAGGATTATAAATCACAGAATCACAGAACGGTTTGGGTTGGAAGGGACCTTAAAGATCATCTAGTTCCAACTCCCCTGCCATGGGCAGGGACACCTTCTGCTAGAGCAGGTTGCTCAAAGCCCCATCCAACCTGGCCTTGAACACTTCCAGGGATGAGGCAGCCACAACTTCTCTGGTCAACCACCCTCATAGTAAAGAATGTTGATTTCAAGACAAAAAGCAGAACTGTTCCTTTACCAACTTCAGTAATAAAGCTAACTTGCATATTAGGCTAGATTGCCCTTTAAAATCTTCTGCATCTGTGGGCAATTCAGCTGGTATTTTCATTGCAACTGTTCGTTGCAATGTTCAGAACAAGAAGCTCAGTCAAGATCCTGTTTCTCCTGCTTAGTAGTGCAGAGACAGGCATCACTAATACAGGCAAAAGAACGGGCAGATATGTACAACTGAACTTAAGATCTTACAATAGGAAGCTGGAGTATTCATTAGCCCAGCACGTCTCAGAGCAGTCAGAAGAAAAAGGTATTAAAAAAAGAATTGTACATGGAATATATTTCTTAATATTAAGAACAATATTTATATTTAAAGAACAGTCATCAGCTGAGCCATTTGCTTCAGTATGAGTTCCAACTATCAGAGAACATAGTCACAAAGATAGCAGCTCCTCAAGCCAACCACACCATCTATACTAGTCTATTGAGTTCCTACAGAAAATAATTATTTTTAAAAATCCTTATTTTTAAAACAAATTTGTGGGATAATGGATCTGGGAAGACAACAAATCAGCAGCAATGTGGACACTACATGTGTTTCAAGAAACTTACTGTGTTCCTAGTACAGCCTGATCAAAGACACATCTCTTTTTAATACCACAATACACTACGAATTTAACTTTTGCTTTCATGGTATCTATGAAACCACACTGCTGATTTACAAGCTATCATGTTTTTCTTGTTTGAAACTACCTCTTTTGCTGTGCACAATGTCAACAAGTTCCTGTAGGTCGTTATCATCTAGTACACTTTAGTGGATTATGCAAAGAAAAATCATGCATCTTCAAAGAGGTTCCAAGAGTTAATCATCAATTTGAGCCATCTGGAATCTACAGCACCAGGAGGAAATACAGGGCAGTGGTACAAATATTACTGTATGTTCACAGACCAGCCAACGACCCCCTTTGCAAACAAACAGGGAAAATTCTCTATTATAGTAGAGCTGGAGATAAAAGTCTAAGTCATCCTGTTGATGTACATTGCTGTAGATGTTCTAAGCTGTGAGAAAGTTAATCTCAAATTGTGTTTTGATGCATTTCATGATTATCAGCAGGCTGATAAACAAAAATGTTGTTTCCTCTACATCATCAGTGTGGGCTGAGGAACACCTCGTTGTGTCTAATACAGAAGATATTTAACTGCCTGCCTCCTCTGTCGGCAATTTGTATTTCAGGCACAATTAGGCCTCTACCAAAGTCTCTAAAGACTGCAGTGTCAAAACCATAATTTTTAGAGAAAACAATACATAAGAGAATGAAAGACTATACGCACTTCTAATTGCAAAACTAGTATCAACATAGCCAGGTTAATGCATACAGTCAGCAAACAAACCACTAATTCATATACAGCTAAGAGAGTAGGGTTATTAGCACAGCAGATGTTTATAACAGACAGGATGTAGAAATAGGCTAGAACTAAGGTTGAAAACACAATGCAAAAACTAAGTGATTAAATGTAAGGAAAAGTAACAAAGCACGAAAGTCTGTTTATTCAAAGCAGAAACTTTGAGACAAAATGGACACTCAAACCCTGTTTTTTCCCCCCCCCAGTGTTAAAAGGGAATGGAATCAAAGTGGTGTGAACTCTTAACAGGAAATCCAAGATGATGATGAAACATTTGAAATTAAAAGCAGCACCAAAACAACCTCTCAGGAGAAACAGGGCAAGGTGGAGCAAGAAAAGTGACTCCTTTGTAATTGCACCTACACAAGTTGCACCTATTTAAGGTTGTTGTGGTTTAGCCCCAGCCAGCAACAAAGCACCACAAAGCCTCCTTCCCAAACTGCGCTGTGTTCTAACTATTCATAGGTTCTAGTATAAAAAAGCAAAAGTTCTCGTGAATGAAGTATATCCTCCTTTTTTGATAGAAGGTAGGTTTTGCTGTTGTTTTCATGGTTAAAAAAAGTCATTCAATGATCCACTGTAAAACACATGAGTATCAGAAAAGAGAAACTAATTATTAAAAAAAGTTACACTGCTATGGCAAAATGTTGTGGTGAATTGCTTGATCATTAATCATAATTATTTCTTTGGTGCTCTAGCATAAATCCCTCCGGAAGCGCACATCAAGAATAAACAAATGCAACTTGGAATATGCACTGATCTTCAGTAATTTAAACAGTGCAAAAATATATACATATGTTAAGTTAAATAACCAAAGAGCGGATTCAGCTTGTTCCTTTTCAGTTCTTACCTTTGTCTAGGAACTATGAAAAGTGCTCGTACTAACTTTCTTCTGTTGGCTTTTGTATTCATGTTCATGCAAAAATCCATTGCTGCCTATAAAGAGAAAAGTCAATACAAAACTCCACCTTTAATGCAGTGGTTTTTTAATTTCAAGCAATATAGGATGCTTTCCAAAAGCATCTTTTACAGAGCTATTCCTATTACATGCAGCTGCTTTAAAAACAACCATAAAGAAAAAAAAAAGTCTTCATTTTTGTCTAGAATTGACATAATTAGAAAACATGTACAGTTACAGGAATACAGACTGATTCTTTGGATCAACACCAGGAAGAAAGCAGCTTTAGGTATATGGGGAGTAATTTGTCAGGGAATGATGGAAAGAAAAAAAGGAAAAAGCCAAGTCTACTTCTAAAACAAACTGACACATAAGAGAACAGGCAAATGAAAAAAAAAGTATCACATGGTATTTGGGCAAGAGTTGACTAAGTCAGAAAAAGAAAATATTTCATCCAGGTTAAAAATGGATTCAGCTACTGTTAGACTCCAAAGCTTCAAATCTTTATTTCCAATCAGTCTGATCTAGCTTTATAGCCTTTAAGAGTGGGGAAAAAACAAAACTATGACTATACCTTGTCTATGAGGTCTCTGTTGACACAATTGGGAAGCTGCTGAAGAAAAGCGTCTACTATAAGTTTTAAATGAGATCCCGTACTGGCTTCTTCATCCTCTTGTTCTAACAGAGTGAAATAAACAAGCAGCACACATCTTTAAGCTATGAAATATAATGATTTACAATCACATTCCCCAAACACAGTGTATTTGTAATGTTTAATTGTTAAATATTCATCCACAGATTCAAAACAGTAAGATATAAAGATGAATACAAAACTTCATTTTTTAATGCAAAAAAAAAAAAAAATCTATTGATTATCTATGCCAACAGAAGTCAGAAGTATCACCTTTAAAATTGTCTTCCTGTTCATGAAATTCCCTATCCCCTAATTTATACTGTCAGGAGTAACAATAAATACCCGTTCTCAGAAAACTATGGTAATTTCTTTAGGTGATAAAAGGACCACCACAAAAAGGCCCAAACATGAGGGAAAACAATATGTGGGATGAAGGGGAACCAACAAAACACCTTAACGCAACTGTGGACTCATTTTATATATGTTTGCCCCACAGGAAAAATAGAAATTTTTATTAAAAATGTCCATTAAGGCCATTCTTTCATCTGGTATGTTCTTGACATCTTTTCACTTGAGGCTGTAAAAGCTAGAGGCCAACTCAATTTCTTCAGCTGTACGGAAACCACAGTATAGAACCATAAAGCAACACGGACGAAGGGCTGATCACATACCAATTGCAAGGCAAGTGACAACTTGTTTTTCCAGCAAATGCTTCCGTGTAATTTGCAACACAGGAAGCAGTGACAGTGACCTGTATCTACTAATTGAGTCAGTAACACTACTTAAGTAAAAGACTGCAGGACAACTCTAGCATTGAAATTCAGATTTTTCTGTCGTCAACTATGAAGATCTAGCCAGACCAATCTCCCTACCGTTACCCTTTAATTGCAAAACATGTGGTATGCCTCAAAAATTTTCCAGATTTTACTAAGTCCTAGAGAAGAGTCTAGTTTGCGCTATAGCACAACATGAGCAAAAAAAAAAAAAAAAAAGGAATTGTAACACAAACGCTTGCAAGGAATCTTTCCTTGGCCAAAGCAACACAAAACAACACTGCTTCCTGAAAAAGGACCATGGTGATGTTTGGTTTCCTTTCAGCTTGAGGACATTCAGCAGTAACAAGAATACCTAGGAGGTATTTGAAAGCAGAACAGAGTCAGACGGACTTCAAAAAGGTGAATATGGTAGTGGTGAAATTGCACCCAAATAAATTACAAAATACCCAAGACTTGGTAAAGTCACTTTGCCTTTAGAGGCTACACAGTAAGGTAAACTAGCATAAAAGACTGAAGTTCCTTTTTCAAGTTACTGGGAGGCAAAGGGAAAACAAAGATGCTACATTGTAGGATGTTTTTTCCTTGGGGTTTTTTTGGAAACAGCTGGAGCAGGGGTTGAGCTTAGGTAGAGAAACATGAAGAATTTTTCCAAGGAACATTGCCAGCTACTCCATCTTGAAGATGCTAGAGATTAAAGCAGATGACATCACCTCCTCCCTTGCACAGGCAACTCAAAGTCAGAAGAACAAGAAAGAAGGGTTCCTTTAGAAAGGAGGAAGAAAAGGAAGATGTCCCAGATGCTCAGACAAAAGAGGACCATGAAGCTTAAGGAACCCTGACCCTCTCATCACCCATACACTCTAAGTTAGAGTTCACTAGGATGCATGCAATAGCTCAAACCAGACAATTTTCACTAGCAAGTCTTGTTTTAATGCATTTTTCGATTTAGATATTTACAGGCACACACTCCTGTCTCATTTTATTGTCCCTTTTTTCCCCTTACAGCCATTAGTTGTCACACCTCAGTCTTCTATTCAAACTGACTCAATGTTAATAAAACAAATTAAAAAAGTAAGTCTTCGACAATTCGGTCACTTTTCAAGACAATCTTTCAAGAGGCCCTACTACCACATTCACTTTCAATGGTTCCCAAATCTTTCACTGGTCCTCTCCCTCACTGGAGAGCTACAGATATTCTCACATTGTATTTCTTTCTCATCACAGTATGTGGATCCTTTCTAAGTGGAAAGGGTTTTTTTTGTAGTACCTGAAGCAGGTTAGGGACTTAAACCAGAAAATTAAGAATTTTACAGTGACAGGAGATGAAATGGTCAGAACTTCCTTCTCTAAGGCAAACAACAATTCTAAGTATGCAATTCATGCAAAAAAATTAGTTCATTTCTTGCTTTTCACTTTGATTTCTTGAGTCCCACTCTTTCATCATCACCACATTTTAAAACTGCATTACCTCTTTTTAAAAATTTACTACAAGCAGTAATGTATAACAATTATGGTTAGATTATTTGTAATAGTCTAGATGGGCACAGATCAAATAATGGAGTAAGATTACTGTAGAGGCTGAAAGAAAAATTATTTTTTTCTTTTTAAACACCTTTATGTTTAACTAGAAATGCATGCAATCCTGCAATTTTCAGGGAGAAAGTCCGAGACGACCCTAAGGACTTACTGAGTTGTTCTCCTGCAACGATCAGTGCTGTAACAATAGTTATTTGCCTTCCCCTCTCCCACACACACACTTTCCAAGAAAGCCCAGGCTCCCTTGTTAACATCTTTTGATTTTTACAAAACTATAGCCTTATAGAAGGGTCTCTCCTAGAAACTCCACTCTGCCCGACAGCTTCAGCCTATCAGCCAGACAGTGGAAAAAACAGCAGTGCTTTTGTAATGCTAGTAGCTATTTCTCTGTGAGATGAGCTTCTTTAATGAACTTGATCATGCAGGAGCCCTCACATTCAGATTGTACGAACTAATACCGTGAGCAAACTGTTGGCTGGATCCCCCTCTCTGCACAACACTTAGGTATAAGCATAATGTTAAATATCTTGTTGAATCAAAGCCTCACCAAGACACGTGTTCAGAATCTGGTCTCAAGTTTTCCAAGTCCAAAAAGTATTTCTTAATGAATATTTTTAGATCTTTTTAAAATTCCTGCTCTTCTGATAGGAACTTGGCTAGGTCTCCAAACAGTGTAGCAAAATTAAAAGGGTTGACTTAATACTCACTTCTACACATCATCTCTGCTGCTGACCAACCTTACAAAAACTGGCGCTAGACATATATTAACATCAGGCTCCTCCTGCTCCCAGTACTTGATGGCTTCCACCCTGGCCATTCCTTACTTATCTTTGTCTCCATTCACACAGCTTCTTTTTAACATTTTATCTTCTCTTTGAGAAACAACCTCAAAACTCACTTCTTTCAGCATGTTTTCCGCCACTATTTTCAGCTCCGGTGCTATCTGCTCCCTCTCTCTTCCCTGAGCATGTTGAAAATAAGAAAATTAAGATTCACTCAAAGTTAACACAATAGAGAAACAAAACAAATTAGCTGAATTCCTGGTAAGCAAACCTCTTCCACTAAATGCATCAATTTTCCTTTTACAAGTCATATCTTTAACTTAGCTGACTATAGACTCCAACCTTAAGGAAAAAAGTGCAGAAAGTCACTGCAATGCTGTGAAGGATGCTACACTGGGGCAGACCTGCTTTAAAAAAACCCCAGACTTTGGAAAACTGCCTTGTCTCCCCTGTATTGGACAGGGGAGAGAAGACTGAAGAGAAGGGGCAGGAGGAGGTGCAGAAGTAACAGATGTGCGGTACCCACTGTCTGACTGGACTGTCTACCTATTTATCCTATTTTCCCCTTTATAATTCACTAACTCCCTCTGCCAATGAAATCCACACTCCCAGATTATCACAATAAGTAAAGCTACTCTTTTTCTTCATCTTGGACCTTACATCTAAGACCCTGATATACCTCATGCATCCTCCCTTTTTATACTGAAGGCCCACCTCAACCTAGCAATACTCTGGGTTATGTTTGTAAGAGTGTCATAATACAGTGGTTCATTCTTTGCTGGCTCTGCCCAAAACATTACTATTAACCTACTGGAAGTACAGATGCACAAAAATTCAGTACATGTGAAAAATTAAAGCTGTATTTTGCAGCTGAAGGACACCTAATTTTACTAAATTTCAAACCTAAGTTAACTTTACTTAAGAGAAAGGATGAAAAAAGTCTACCAGTTCACTATATGGAAATATGTCACAGAATTGAAACATCATCTAAATTCAGATTTTTGTTAATTCTGTATATCTGGTGCTACCAGCTAGGGGTGTTCAGAATTACACCCCCCTTCCTCCTCCCCCAAAAAATCCAGTCATTGCATTTCTCTACATCTTTCAAGTAAAGTAACACTTACATGCTGCTAATTTATAGTCCAGTTTTCTACCAGAACAAGGATTTGGCAATCATATCTATTTTAATTTCTATCATTAATTTATGAAGCTACTTGTCAGTATCTTAAGAAATTTGACAAAGGTATAGAATTTGCAGAGACACTAAATTTCTACATGTTTCAAAAAACACCCCAAACACTAATGAGCAAAGGCAATCATGAAGCAATAGTTGTCCACTAAGAAAAAGCCTACACTGTGAGTCAAATGACCTTACCTCCACATGGTAGAAAAAAAAAAAAAAAAAAAAAAAAAAAGGCTTTCTTTAAGGGTTGTCTAATGATAAAAAATGAACCCCATTTGGACACATTTTAGATTAACCTTTCAGATGGGAGTATGTTTAATGCTCAGTCATATCTAGTTTAAAACCAGAAACTAGTAGTGTCGGTTAGTATTTTGTATTATGACAAAACATGCATCACCTTCCTTTTACAATCAAAAGCATGATCATCAATCCTTTCTGTGCTGCTACTGTACATACTCAAATGGGCATTGCCTCCCAGTAAGCTAGAACTATACAGAGACTGCATCTTTTATTTCTGAGCTCATCTCCTGTTACTCCTTCCTCACTTCTACAGGATCTCACTCTTGTGCTATTTGGCTTTTTATTTGGAATAATCCTCATCTTCCTATCAAGTCAAAAATCCCATCAAAAAAAGACAAGAAGGAAATATCCATATTCCTTTACATGTCTATTGACAAAGTATTTTTGGCCTGTCTAGCAGGCTACGACCACTCCAGAATGAACTGTTCTTTCTCCTTCTGATTCCAAGGCAATATCTATGTGTACCTCTCTTACACATAGCTGGAACCAAGCTCTTCAGAGTTGTGTTTGAAATACCTGACCAAAGGATAACAACTCACTAGAGGTGAATGTCCTGCAATTAAAACTTAACATCTTACCCAGCTTAATGAGCTGATGACTATTCAGAGGAGAATATAAATGGAAGGGAAAATTTATTGCAAAAGAGGGTATGTTTTTTTCCAACCTCTCTGTGTAAAGAAAGGAAAAATCTAAGGAAATATTACACAGAATTATCCTGATAGCTTTCCTTTCAGAAGGAATCTGAAACAGTCTGGCTCTGCAGCTGTCAAATTTCTTCAAATTTGTGAGGTGTCACAGACCAGCTTAGTCCCAAGCTTAATTTCAACTCAACTAACTTCAGGCACACAAGAGTCATGGAATTTAAAGACCCATATGCCCTAACCCTTCCCTATTGTCAGTTGAGAGAGACCGGCACTTTGCGTTGTTTTTCAAGCTACTCAACGCCCAAACCCGCAGATCCATGCATCAGCTTGGTTAGATGAACCTATGCTTTAAACACCGATACACAGTCTTTGCCAGGGCTTGAATTTCTTTGCTTTGATGTGAACTCCACGGCTTGAATGTTTGGCTTTAACTTCTTAGCTTTTAAAGCCCAATGCAGTTTCAAGCAAGAGGATAATTAGATTACAAATTCACTAGATCAGACAGTATTTTCACTTCTAAGCCACAGAATCTCCAGCCAGTAGACTCTAGATGTTGTTTTCTTCCCCACATTCTAGACACAGAACAAATTTCCTGCTTCAGAAATGAAAAAGTAATCTGCATTGGTCCAAAGCAGCAAAACTGATGCGTCTTACAAACCGGGCTAAAAGAAAACACCTCACTTGCTCCTCTATGAATTTGGCTCTTTACACCTGACATTGCTTTTCCCGTCATTGAGTACCACTGAAAGAAAAACTTGTAACTCACAAGATAAAGTCTTAAGAAAGATTTTGCTGCTGCTTCCCCTAGTAAAACTAACACAGCTAGATTTTCACAGGTGCCATTTGCACCCTTTCACGCATAATTAGAGGTTAGAATTCTTAAGTCCTGCTATGTAAAGCCATAACATCAAAATAAAAGTCTTTAACAATTAACAAGACAGAAAGGCAGAGCTGAATCTTAGATTTCAATAGAATTTCAAATAAAAAACTTTATTAGTACCCTAAGCACATTTGATAAGAAAATAATTCATGCAGCGAAGTCTATACACTTCTTTCTGGTCACTTTTCAGACAATGGCCTTCACTTTTGATTATTTTTGAAAGCTATATGAAGTAACTTTCACTACATAAACCTCCATGTAATTCTTTTCACTTTTATCTGAATGTCTTGTTATTGAATGCATTTTTTACCACAATCCTAACAGTTTCTAGCTACTAAAGTTTCATAAATAAATAGTTCTCCCTGAAGTCACTCTATCTACTAAGTAAAAACCATCAAGCTCAAAAAAACAAATCAGGAAACAACACAGAATTCCCAAAACCAATTATTTTTACCTTGTTCATCAAGAAGCTTTTTTGTAAGGTCTTCTGCCTCATCTCCACAGTCTAACTCCAGAGGATCATCATTAATATCCAGGTTCTCCAGCTCCAACTCCAAATCCTCACTCCCAGGTGCTTCCTTATTATCTTTGGCATCTTTTGAATCTATTTAAAAGTTAAGTAGCAATATTAAACTATTAAATACACGCAGAATACAGGAAGGCTCACATTGCTAAACCTACGTCTCTTTAGTGTCTTAGTCTTGTTAAAAGGAAAGAAGGAAAAGAGTATCTACTTCTTGAGACTATACTGTCTCATCGGTTAGGTCTCAGTGGTTTGATATCCTTCATATAGCTTTTCTCATATGCCCGAGAACTGCAAACATTTACCTACATTGGGATCTGTTAAGGATTGACAACAGTTTTTAGTGCTTTGGTTTGTTCTGAACTATACCTTGGACGTCTTCATTATCTAACACATACATTGACACAGAACAAGATACTCATAAATGTAGCAATCTAAATTCAAAAGTGCTTAAAATGGATTGCCAGGCCATCTCATGGAAAGCACAAGCAAAAAAACCTTGCATACTGGGAAGGTCAGATATTAAAAACAGTATCCTCCAAAACCCCAGTAAATTAATATCACAAACATTATTCAAAAAGAGCCAGACGCAAAGGTACAAATTCTAATTTAATATTTGCACTGCATATTCTTCATAGCTCAACTGATAAAAAAAAATATGACAAAGCAAGGTAAAGAGAAAGTATTTTATGCAGACCAAGAAAAGCAGCAAAAAGCACAAGGAGGAAGATTCTGAAGAAACAATGTACTATGTAGAAGGTCAAATAAAAACCATTTTTTCCTTGAAAACAAATAATCTATGAATCTCTAGATGAAGATTCAGAAAGGAATAGCTAGTATTTTTCTTGAATAACACCGGTCCAGCACAGAGCATTTTTCTAAGAGATTACTGCCTACAACATTTTACTATTCTTTTAGGCCTCCTTCAAGCCTCATTTGCAGACTGTGCTTTATAAAAAGAAAAATTTCAAGGCAAATAACCTTTAAAATGAAAAAGTAAGTATTTTAATAAGTTACAACTACACAGTGTACATGTCAGGTGGAAATAGCAGACTCACAAAGCAAGCAACCTGTTTAGAATCACAGACTAATTTAGTCTGCAGTGGACCTCAGTGAGGTCTCTAGCTCAACGTTCTGCTCAAAGTGGATGATCACTGTATTCAGACCAGATTTCTCAGGGATTTTTTTCCAAACATCTTGAAAGATCTCTTAAGGCAGAGATTCCAGTCTCCCTGGGCTAGCTGCTCCAACACGTAATTATCCTCACAGGGAAATTTCAGAATTTAGAAATCAGAAAGGCAGCCATGAGCTATAAAGTTGAAATTCCATTAATATTCAACACTGACCTACTGCTTGTGTATTAGAAAACAACGTAGCCTGTGCCCTTGTGGGCATTTCCTCAATGCCAAAACGCTGCTCTCATCCAAACATGCATCTTCTGTTACACTTTGAACCAGTGAGGGTGACTGTCATTTTTATCCCATTATAATTAAAGTCAACCAATGCCTGGTTGTGAACCTAGGGCTGCATCAGAAGTGAGGAACCATCCAAAACTTTTAATCTGGAATTTTATACTGAGACAGTTGGCTACCATTGACAATTTAGTGGAAAAAAACGAGAATGAACATTAACGTCTTTCAAAGAAGGTGAACTTCTGGGTTTCTCACAGAAAAGTTAACGGTTTCCCGCATTGGTTAAGCATTCTATCGATATTAAAATGCATTTACTTTTTTCTTCCTTAAAGACCATAACCAGATATAATCCCTTTCCCACATAGTTTCTTCCCTAAAAATTCATCCAAACTGGTGTGCTGTCCCAATCACCACAAATTATTTTGTTAGAGACTCGTTACTTCCATCAAATTTGCATATCTGTTGGAAAAAATACACTAAAAAAACCCAACTCATCTAAGCATTCTACCTCTTGATTCATCTTTGCCGGAATCCTTATTCTGGGAACATTTTTCATTGTCTTTGAACAAAATTGCTGGCACAAAAGCCTTTAAGTCGATGAGATTCTCATAGAAGTTTCTAGCATCTTCGTCTTCCCAGATACCCCCCTCCAGGTCATACTCTCCAGGCTTTCCTGGTGTGAAAATATCAATACCAGGTCCATGTTCTGCAAAAATAGTGAAGCCATAAGAAAGTTATTCACACAGATTTTTCATCTTCTAAAACGAGGCACCTTTAAATATTAAGAAAATACTTTTAGAAACACATTAACCTATTTATTAGTACCACCATTTTCACTTAAATATTGCGATGTATACTTTAAAGTGCTTTTAACAACCCAATCTTAATATTAGATCTATCAACAGACTATCTTATAATTATAAATTTGGCATACATAGAAAACACAGACATTATCAGAGTGGAAGTCAAATCAGATAAAATCAATACCACGTTATGTGGTATTAGAAAGGAAAGCTATAACAGACTTTAACCACATTAACATGTAATCGCTTTGAGTGTGACGAACTGTACCTCACTGTATTTTAAGAACAGAAGTTTAAAAAGAATAACTTCAAATTTAGAGGTATTCAAGTAGTACAGCTTTTTTTTTAAGTTCAAGATCACTTCAGACAAAAGGTACACTCATGATTTCAACAACATCTCTAAACCTAAAATTTAAGACTCAAAAAGGCATTGAATAACACTGTCAGTTAAACGCTGTACTTCTCAGGAGGTCAGAGAGCCACCTAGTGACTTATCTGGTTTAACAGTATGTTCCTGCTCATAACATCATGACCCAAAATATACTTCATTTTTTAACAGTATCAGATTTTAAAGCTAGCATATACAGTTCTTTCAATATTAAAAAAAGGCACTGCTTTAAATTGAAAGGATTAAGTTAAAAACATTTTTCATTTTCCATTTATTCCTGTATTACCTGGAACAAATCTAAATAGGTATTACTTAAGTTACCGTAACTACACAGCACATACAATAGTTATTGTTACATTAGGTGTAATTACTGTAATAAAAACCTATGTATTGTTCATTCTTTGATATCCTTAAGGCAGAAAATCTAAATAAAAAGAAATCAGTGAAACGAACGCATCAGTAAGAGTTTGGTTAGCTTTCCCACCACATCCAAGCCAAGTCCAGCATCCTGTTTACTTGCTTTAAAAGATGGCCTACCCTCAGGTGTTGGTTTCTCTTGAGGAAGGTCAGGCATGTTTTCATCCAAAAGATCAGCAAGAGATTGAGAATTTGCCAACAGCTTCTGATAGGACATTGCAAATTCCTCATATTGCTTGTGTCGATCTTCACTCAGCTCTCCTTTGGAGTGAAGAATGCGCCTACAAAAATCGAAGTTACAGTAAGACGACCTTTTTTCTTAAAATATATTTGAGCTATGCTGAACCACTGCCAATCTCTCTGAGCAAAGCTAACCTTCCCTCTTCGAGGAACTGTGAGAATTATAGTTTAGACCGCAATAGCAAATTTTTTTTTTCCCAAACAGCCATACCGAATTGCCAACTTGAATGTCACTGAGGGCAGTACAGTCACAGAAGGTTTAACTTCCACATCTAAAGAGAAAGACTAACTTATTTTTTTGCCACGATTATCCTGTAATGGTCCTGCCCTATGAAAAGACTTTTGTGGTAAATGAAAACATTCAACTTAGAGGAAAGCTGGATAATAGTTGTTTTGCATCTGTAACGACATTTCCATGTTGTTCAAATGATTACATGGGCAATCATTGCCAGGAGGCTCAAAAAAATTTGCCCATTAAGACCAGCTCATTAATTTTCCAACAAACCAAGTTATTTCAAGGCTACCAATCCAAATTAAGAGCACTCACATTTCTTTGTTTTCCTCTGTGAAACTATCCATACTTATTTTAAATTCTCATTTTCAAAAATGAAATCTGTTGTTAAAAGCAGCTTGCATTCGAAGGAACGTAACCGCTGCTTACAAGCGCATAGGGAAGCAGTTTCAGGATTACATGCAGAACGGTAAAACTCGATTTTCTTACCAATCTAACCACAGTTAAGGCTTAACAATTTACTAGCTATTGCTCAACACCATATACCAGCTTAAAAACAGTCTCACTTGTTTTTAAGGAATAGACAATATAGTTCAAAAGTGTTACTCACTACATACTTTTTCATTTTGCCAGTCTTCATGATCTACTTTCAAAGTCATACAAAACTCCACATATCTGTTTGACAAGACCAGCTCTTCTCTACAGAAACATGCTAACACAAGGACCACTTAAAGCCTTGCATGCTTTCTGAAAGTCAAGGCAGTTGAAACTGACATCACTTTGTAAAATCATACAAGAAATACTAGGACTGCAAGTTACAGATGTATCTTTCATATCAGAAAGACAAATCTTTGCCTCATTTTCAAAGGATTTCCTTTTATTCCCTATTGCATTTGATTGCTCTGATTCACTTTAACTACATAGTTTAAGAAATGGAATTACCCTAAAGTTATCTGTTATTTCAGAAAACACCAAACGCTGATGTTAACATTATGAAACTTTATGAAATAACAAACAACTTTTCTCCCTATACATACTCTTGCATTTTCTCATTTAATTTCTGATTGCAAAAAAAAATTCCTCAAGTCCCTTGAAAATTCTTGTACTAAAGCAGTTTTGATAATTATCAGCAAGTTACCATCCATTTAGTTAAATTTATTAGTTAAAACGACCAAAAAATACATTTCTTGATTCTGGTAAGGTGTTATAGAACTTCTAAAGTCAAATACTAAAAAGGAATATAAATAACAGAAACCTCTTACAGAGTCCCTATACAAGCTAGAAATAGAAAACGTCTTGGATTTTTAGCAACAAATATCAAGAACTTTCAGTAGTTTGAACCAAGTGTACAGAACAAGGTAATCTCTGCTAGTACAAAGCTTGCCACAGAAGACTGCTGAAAGACTGTCAATCCTTGATTTTTGGGTTAACTGAGAATAAGCTGGTTGCTCATTAGCAATGTTCTAGTTTGTCCTCAACTTGAGCTCCTGAGAAGTGCATTTGACCCATCTGTGGCACAATCCACTCCACATGAACAGCTCTTGTAAAGATGATGCAGAGTCAGTTCTTTACCAGCAAGGGACACTTTGGGCCAGCTGAGCTGTTTGGGGACCTACTACAGCCAAGATACAAACAGGCTCAGATCAAACATGGACTTTCAAAGGGAAGCTGACAGAGTGAGCTTGCCTAGCAAGTTTCCAATTTGTTTTACAGTAGCTTGAATACTGTCAGTAACACTGGACTAACTAGCTGTAGCCACTGAGATGAAAGCATCAGAAGATAAAGTTTGAAATAAGGTGTGAATTCCTAAAGAGGCTGCATCATTACATTACCATTAGGCTTTTATTAAGCAGTAAGTATACAATCACATTCCCACCAAAAGACCCAAACATTTTATGGCATAAAAATTCTAAAACCGTTTAAGGAATGCAAGCTGAGGGGCATCAGCCTTGGCTTTTTTCATTTCCAGGTTAATTGTAAAACAGAAGTCATCTTTGTACAGAACACATTCACAGGCTGAGCAAAGAAATCCCTATCTGCTCAGAACCGAAACCTGACACAAATGCCTTGCTAGAGGGCAAGAAGCAGCAATGCCAGCAAAAGTTCTATTTCTTGACCCTCTTACAAAACCACACCTATAGTATGTATCACCTGCTCCTGCAAAATAGAGCAAGAAGAATTAAATAATTAAATAACCACTAAGTTTCTAAAGTGCAGTAGTTCAGTTTGGATTCAGGAAGCATGTTAAGTGCCAATTCATAGTCTTTCCATGGAGACAGCTGTCCATTAGGCACATATTTTACGTTTAAAATACACCAGCAGCCTCATAAACATGAGTGCTGAAGCTCTATGCTATTATTAAAAAACAAAAAAGCAAAGTGCTGTAACAACAGTACAAGAATTTCAGTTCTGTTACTGTTCCCAAAAGACAAGTGTTAACAAATTCAAGCAAGCTAAAGCATACTAAGCAAACTTTAAAAAGCACAATTCATTTCTGAATACAATTAAAAGTACGGCATTCAGAACTTATCTTTATGTCTCTTCAGGATTTCAAAGTGCCACCATGCAAGTTCAGCAGATCTTAAAAACATCCTTAATTTAGACAAAGTAGTTTCTTCCATATCTGACACTCATTTTTGAAAACTCACACTAGAGTTTGGGAATCATGTTGTTTCCTTCTGGTGACACAGCCTGCACAGATTGTGCTGTGCCCTTAGCTGTGTGACCAACCCAACCATCAGGTTCTACTGTCAAAGCATAACTCAAGGTAGTTGAGTTTCCAAATTATCCACTTGCAGAAACCCTTGTGTCTAATAATGCTTTAATTTTACCTAAATGATTTAGCAGGTAACACAGTATTAAAGCACTGTTAAGGTTAGCATATTAATTTTCAATTAACTCAACCAATCTGTACATCTTATTTGACAGTCATTCTCCTGACACAGGTAAATTCAAGAGAGATTTACCTGACAAAATATCATGACCTGAACATATGACACTGTTGATGCACAAGAGGGAACCGTTTGCTCCCTGTTCACTTCACCAGTTCTGGAGTAACAGTGGGAATAAAAGCTACTGCTATCAGCAAAGTGGATCAGGTTTCAAATGCACTGAGTACCATTTTTTCCCAAGAAGGATTATTCCTTTTTTTAAGGAACAAAAAAAAAACCCCAAACCAAAACCTAAACAAAAAAAAAAACCCCAAGACAACCAACCAAAAACAAAAACCCAACATACCATCACCCCAATCACTTTTCAGAAATCCAGAGTTTGGCAGATTTCTATAGTATTCACAGACTTCTTACCAGGCAAGTTTCCATCTTTGACCTTTGATGCCTTGCACATCCATAGCATGCAAATGCCAAGCATCTCTCTTGTTACAGACACATTGGAAGCAAAGAAAATTAGGCAGGAAAGTTTTTTGATGTCTCGTATCTTTAACAAAACTTATTCCCCAACTTTTATTAAGCAGCTAAAATAAAAATCTAAAAGTTCATACAGAGATAAATAATTACCTTCACCCAGTGATAAACCATACTTCTTCACATTCCTTCCTCAAAATAAAGCTTTGCACCCAAGTTCACAGGGATAATTCAGATGACAAGGTGCATAAAGAGGTCTCTACTCTGATCTACTGAAAGCAGGCTCAATGACGAGATCAGACCAGGCTGCTCAGGGCTCTATCCAGGCATTTTTATCCAATTGTGCAAGTAAACAAAGTATACTTACCTCTCCCGGATCACTTAGGTTCCTTCTTCTTCATGGTTTCTTAACAGTCTTTGTATCTCTTGGAATTTTTTTTTCCCCACTTTATTTCCCACCATACAGCCTTTTCAACACTTGCTCATTGAAGTCCCAGCCAGAACCAATGTGCCCAGACCAATTATAATTGTGACAGTATAAAAGTTTACATTCATTGACTTTAAAAAATAACAACTGAGTCAATAACACACTTTAAAGTAAAAAGGTACTTGTAGAAATAATGGTAGCTCAAAAATCTGTTTATGGTCCTATGAAATACACCACTTATCTGGTCTTGGCCAGCTGTGACTGCAGCACAACACCCATCAGCACAATGGATCCAAGTTTAAAGCCTTGATTTGGGAACACCAACTTTTAATGTATTGCAAGCATACATTTGGCTCTGATATTCAGCCTTTTAGTTGAAACCTGTGCCTACACACAGTAACACATTCATTTCTGTCTGCTTGGAATGCTTCCAAAAGGATTTAAGAATGACCATGTTTTAAGACCAGCAGTTGGGTTTAGGCCAGTTCCAATAATGACAATTCAGGATGCTTTAAAGAAAAGCAAACAACTACTAAACAATGTGGTCACAGTAGAAATTAAAATATTCAGATCTTAAAGGTGTGTGTATTCATATCCTTCGATATTAGTATTTCATATAGACATTTAAGAGTATTTCAATCCAATTGTCTATACCCTCCAACTTATTAATACATAAAATTTGCCCACATTAAAGCATAAGGGATACTTCGTTAGTCTAACCTAATTTTTGCCCCATACTGGTACATTAAAAAAAGTAAACAAGCCAAAGCCATTGTGGCATACGCTCCGTTAGATATATGTGGGTGGAAAGGGAGGAATCAGATTGTGCCAACTGGAAAAGGACAGTACCAGCTGGGAAACAAACATTACTCTTAAGCTGCTACGGGAGCATCATCAAACTTACAGAGTTATAGAGAATTAAAGCTAAAGGTCAACCTCCATTTCCTTTAAAGATATTCAAAGAGTCTGTTTGGTTTTTGCTTTTAAGGTATTCAGAGCAAAGTTAGAACTTTTTTTAGATATATTGCAGAATACACTTATCTTCTAGACACCACAAACAAATTTTGCTTACACATACTACAACAAATCTAGGCATTTCATAAACAAACTATTTTTTTCTCCATAAATAAAAAGCAACATTCAAGTGTCACCTGTTTTGTCTTTCAATATTTTGTAGCTCCCTGTGGTCCCTTTTCAGATGTTTGGTCAAAGACGTAAAGTATTCCTTCAACAAATTCTGGAAGGGCTGCTGTTTCTCTGGGCTAATTATCTCACTAGGAGGAAAGCCCAAGTTAAACTTCTCTGCAACAGTTTTTACTTTCCTTGGTACCAAACCAGCAATGTCGTCTCCACAGTGCCGACAAAAGCTGATAACCACAGAAACATGAGTGTGGGATTCTCGATCAGCGTTAATAATATTTTTAAGCTGCTCATAGATTAAAGACAGACCTTCCTTGTCAGTGAAAATCCCAACTATTGTCAATTCTGCAATGAAACGCAAATCAGTTCTTAACTTGGTAATGTTGGGGGTCTTCTCTTCTTTCCTGGCTTCAAAATGTTTTTTCCAAGCCTGAAGTAACGAAGGGGCAAAATCAGCATAGCGCTGGTGGAAGAGGGAACACAAGTGCACAGCGCAGTTCACATCTGATATTTTCAGTTTGGCTTCCACAATAGAAGCTACTGCTTCTGCAATGTATTTGCTTAAATTCAGGCTATTAAAGTCATGGGACAAGGAGTCCCTTTGTTGCTCTGTAATGGTTTTTAACTTTTTAACAAAAGCTGTGTTCTTCTTCAAACTGGAATCTAGTCTGCTGAAGAAGTTTTCCTCAGGGCGATTGTCTGGTGCATTCTGGTTTTTGCTGCGAAGCTCTTTTCTTGCCTGATGGCGCTCCCAAGCCTCCTGATGGAGCTGATGTGCTTCCTCTTTTTCTCTAAGACAAACAAAAATTAGTCATTTTCATTACAGAACCTTACTTTCAGGTTACCAGTTCATAGTTGGAAACCCTCCAGTAGTTCTAAACACAATTTCCCTTTAATACTCTGTTTTTAAATATTTAACAAGTTAATCCCAGAAAGCTAAAGTATCTGCTTCATAACTACTGTTTGATTTTTTTGCTGCAAAAGGCAAGTACTACTTGTTACAAAACGAAATTTCTCCAGTATTTCTATGCAGAACATATTAATCCAAACAGACTTAGAAAATATAAACATAAAACTCCATTTACTCCAGACAGGGATTAAGTTCTTACAGAAGAGGACAACCACCTTTCAACAGGTTACTGTATTACACAGTTAAGAGAAATATTTTTATTCCCAGACTATTGAAATGACGTAGAAAATTTTAAATAGGTGAAATACCTCTGTCCCAGCTAGAATTTGGCTATGACATTGCCTCAGTCTTAGAAAGTGACATATTTCAAACACAGGAATGTCTGGAATCTTGGCTTTATTTGGTCTAAAGGTGCTATCTTAAGACTGTAGTACATTTTGATAGCGTACTAAGAAACATTGCCTTAGTAATATCACATATTAAACTGCCAGGCCACATTCTGTGTTTGCCATCCAGGTATCGTTGTCTATGACCAATTAAAAGAAATGACAGCCGTCCCTCACAGTAGATTTGCTCCTGTTATGGTCTGTGGACCTGTTAGAGCCCATATTCCCAATTTTATGACACTAACACTTCCCAATTTTAAAAGAAACCACGGTTCTTTATTCAATCACATTTGTGCATTACATTGTCACCACACGGAGAACACTATCAAAAACCTGTATTAGAGATTAAAGTAGCAGAGGCTAAAGGTGAAAACTCAAAACTGCATAGAAGTCATAAAGCATGTTCAGCTAGCCATGTAACATTTATAACACTACATATAACTTGCTGTAACTCACTCAAATAGCTAATCTTTTATAATTCTGCCCAAAACCCTGATAGCAGGACTACGGCATTTGGCACAATTAAACCATTAAAAACCAACTTACTTCAGTTGAGCAGCTGCTTCTTCTTGTTTCTTTTTCTCTTCCTCCTCTTGTTTCTTTTTTTCCTCTTCTTCAAGTTTCTTTTTTTCTTCCTCTTCTTTTTTCTTTTGCTCTTCTTCTGCCTTTACTTTATCCTCTTCTTTTTTCTTCCGCTCCTTGTCTTCTTTTTTCCTTTTATCCTCTTCCAGTTTTTTCTTTTTATCTTCAGGAACCTTTAAAGTCTCTCTCTTCATGCCAACCTTGACATCTTCTTTTGGCTTTTCCCTGGTGCTCACTGGTCGCCTTTCACTAAATTCTTTTTCTTTATTATTTAACGGAGATTCTTTTTCTTCCATATTTGCTGGCTTCTTGCGCTCAGCTGGCATTGTGTTACCCAGGCAAGTCTGCAGAATCACAGGAAAATAAGTACTTTTAACTTGTTGATATATTAAAGCCATTTTCGCAGCCCACCTATTCTCATTTAGTTCTTAACTAAGTAAGGTAACTCACAGATGCCTTATTAGACTAAAATACAGGTTTAAGGTAAGTTTTCTTGAACTAAGAAATGGACCTAACAATAGGTAAAAACTAATCATTTTGTTACGGTGTTACACTGCAAAGTTGTCTTCAGCATGAATTGTGAAGTAAAAGCATTTGAAGTTTCTGCAAGTTGAGGAATACAAGATCTTGGAACATAAACAGAAGTCCATCTGCAAAAAAATCCAAGACTGATGAAAGCAAAGTACCCCCAACTTAAAAATGAATAAAAATATTTGATTCATCAGCATGCACCTGCACCTCACTGACCTTTCTACACATCTCCTAAGAATACTGCCCCTTCCACTACCTCCACTTAGGATCATAGGATAATGCAGGTTAGATGGGGCCTCCAGGGGATCAACCTCCTGCTCAAACCAGGTTCCACTATGAGGTCAGACAAGATTGCTCTAGGCTCCAGTCCCGAAAACCATGAAGGAAGGGGACTGCACAACCTGTCCACCCAACTTGCTTCAATGCCTGACTGCCCTCATTGTTAAAAGGCATCATCTTGTTCCCCTCTTTCCCCACACCTCCCAGGATTTCCCCAGGCATCTCAAGCACTCTTCCACACAGCACAAGTACCAGCTGGAAAAGCATGCCATGCTGACTAAAATGTCTGCACAAACCTCCCTGGCCAGCAGAACATGCGAAAATGATAGCGGAATGGCTACAACTATCAACAGTTATCAAATGCTCCAATTTGTATCTCTTTCTACTCAACCAATGTTTTTCTGGGGACTCATAGGAGCTTTAGCACCTTTGAGGTTTCTAGCCCTCTAAACTTTTGTTTCATTTGGCTAAGGATAACAAATATTGAACAAAAAAAGGACATAATTAAAATCAGATCAGGGACTTGACTAGCTAAGTTTTGAGTATCTCCAAGGACAGAGATGCAATGGTCCCCTCTGGGCCCCTGTTCCAGTACCTGAACAACCAAAACTTTTCCCAATATCATCCTGGAACTTGCTATGCCCCATCTTGTGTCCATTTCTTCTCATCCTATCCCTGTACAGCTTTAAGAACCCAGCTCCATCTTCTCTACACTCTCCCAATTAGGTTGTTGTAGACAGTAATAAGACTTCCCCTTTTCTTCTTACAGATGAAGAAGCCCACTTCTCTGAGTCTTTCTTCAGAGAACATGTTCTCCAGCTTCCTAATGATCTTGGTGGGCCTCCAGTGAACTTGCTCCAGCATGTCAATGCCTTTTTTGGAACAGAGAATCCACAACTGGATGTGGTAGCCAGATATGGCCTTGTAAGTACCAAATAGAGGGGAAGACTCACCTTCCTCAACCTGCTGGGTAACTCTTGTTAACTACAGTCCAGAATGCAGCTGGCCTTAACACAAGGGCATTCTGCTGACTCATGTCGAGGATCAGATAGGGCCAGACAGGACCGACAGAGGCAATTAGAACACCCAAGGTTTATTTACTTCAGGCTAAATTAATTTCTTAAAGCAAAAAATAATTTTCACATATTCATGTGCTTTAAATTAAATTCATATAGAGGCAAGACTGATGGGACACAATTGCATATGATGCCTCCTGAAAAACCATCACTTGGTTTTTATTGGTAACACCAGTTTGATTCCCAATTACCACCCTTACTTTCGCCTAACGTTTCACTCAGACTGTATGATGAAAATATGACAGATTCACATATTCCCTCAACAAAATGGACGAGACACTTGCATTCCAAACTAAAGGTAGAGTGCTTCTAGTATTATTTTTAACTGTTTTGAAAGATATTTATAAATACGACACTAAAGAAACTCTGTTTCTAACTAAGTATTCCACATTCCCTCCCCCACCCCCCAAACAGTAAGACGACAGAGTCACATACTGGCTATCCCATATGCAACACTGCGTTACAATTTTTAAGATGCTTGTCCAGGTCTCCTGAAGAAAACACTGCAGAAATTCACAGTATATTCAGATATGGGCAGAGACAACTCACCAATGGGGAACCTATTCAGGACTTGGCCTCTGACAGCAATTGGCAACAGCACCAATGAAGAAATGTTTCTGACACTGATTCAGGGAAATGAGACCAAGCAAATCAGCATCGATTAAACAAGTACTAGCAAATTTGGCTCCCTAGTGCATGTCTACAACTAAGACGTTCCACAGCTCAACATCTCAGAACTACTGGGATTTTGAAAACACTGATCTACATCTTAAAACAGTATTGTTTTATTGTTATTAAACCAGTACTTAACCAAGGAGTGTGTGTGGGAAACATCAACAAAACCCAAACAACTAAGCAGCCCCCCAGACCTCTTCATATTAAAGGTCTGAACTAATTCTTCCATCTCTGTAGGCCAGTTAAGTGGGTTCCTCACAGATCCATCTTGCAAATCCTCTAAGTGTTCTGTTTCAAATTCAACACTACCAGTTTATTAATCTTTCCTGACCATGAATCCACATTGGAAATTCCATCAGTTTGAGACAGCTAAAATACCTCTCCCACCATTTTTAACAAAAGGGGTTTGAAAGGGAAGCTTTTAGCATTTAAACATCACTGTAATATCTTACTAGTAAGATTAGGTCCATTAGAATATTGCACAAGACTCTCCAGTAATTGTATTAAAATGTTTTTCACCAAGAAGTCTATTAAACAAAAAAAAATAAATAGAGCAAGACATTCATTTAAAAAAAAAAAAGTGTTAAGATTCTGAAAGATAATGAATTGGGAGCTAAGTTTAAGAAGAAAACATTGGGAAAAAAGGGTTGTTTGATTAAAGAAATGTTGGACAGACATGCCACCATTCCAATACTCCGGCTTTTATCTTTGTCCCCCACCTGTTCTTAGTAGGATAACTCAATTACAATTGGGGGAAAAAAACCAAAAAAACCCCAAAGCAAAGTATCCAGCTACACATATAACTTCTAACAACACAGTCACTTACCAAAATTGTTACACTACTCAAACTCTTACTAATTTTAGGAACTCGGAATTCTCTCTTAAAGACCTATCTGACATTTGCTTGTATAAAAACAAAATAGAGAAGATGGGATAAAAAAAGGGACAAACAGAAAAGGGACAGAGCACAATAGGGTAGATTGTGATTTCAACCACAAGGCAGTATTTATCTGCTTTTTCCCCGTGAATGGTGGTGACAAAAAAACCCCAACGAACAAAAACCCAGTCTAGTTTATAATGACTTCTGTCCTGCATCACAGAACACGCATGCTACAATACCCCTCACTACCTGCTACATATATAGCTCCTTATCTCGCAAACCCTTCCGCTCGTACTGCCAGCTCATTTATGCCTACCAGGCGTTGATGGCAAGAGGCAGGCGGTGGGGTTGCTGCCTCCAAGCTACGGACAGACTGATTCACCGGTCAGCGCTGGAGTGCCAGCTAACAGCGCAGCCAAAACAGAACTGTCCACTGAGCGTTCGCTGCAGCCCTTCCCTCAGCAAGAATGTTAATTTAGACATTGTTACTTTTCCTCAGCTGCCAGTTACCACAAGATCTGTAGAAAGTTTATATACCTTCAAAACATCTGCCTAATTTGACTGAAACTGGCAGAAAGGTGGAAAAGTTGCGGGAAGCAGAGAAAAAAGGAAACGGGCAGCAGGCTTGCCTGGGTCTCATTACCATAGGAAATAAGACTGAAGATACACAGTTTGGTCCAGATTAAGGAAGTGGTAAGGAAACATTAAGAGAAACTTAATCATTAAGTGAACTTCTATTTAATACCTAATGTTTATGCGAATGTACTGGTGAAAAGGCAAGATAATGACATGAACTTCATAAGCCAACAGGTAGGAGGAACTGGTGCTCACAGCTGAAAATTCGAAAGGACGGAGAAGACAGATACAAGACAAGTGTTCCATATGCTTTTGGACTCTTGGCAGTGCATTTCTGTAGTGATATTTAGATGTTTTAACACTCTGTCTTCTTAGTTTTATCATTTCCAGATACTATTTTTCCAGAGAAAACTATAGCTCTTAAATTTTCACTATTTGACCAACCTTAACTCAATCTTAGTTGAGAATTTTTTTATTGTACCTGGATTTCTACTTAGTTTTTTTCATACCAATCTTGGAATTTGAAAAACTGATGGGACTGGGTTCACAATACTCTAGGCTCAGAAACTTAAGCAACAGGTCTTGAAATGCACAGGCAACATTTAAGAAAAAGCATCCATGTACTTACTCTCAAGGAAGCCAAAGATTCGTAAAAGATATTTATCATTGTTAATCTAGTCACTGTTCAAAATAAAAGGATAAACATCAACAAACTTGGTCTGATATGCTCGAATCCTCTCAAATCAATAAAACCAGATGATTGTCGCAGGCTGCAGTACCATGAACTGAAATCTCAATCCTTGCAAACACATGTATAGGGGGAAGAAATACGGCTTTATTAAACTAGGAATATTGAGATTTTTTTCACACTTTTTTACCACTACTGGATATTAAATTGATCACAAACAATCCTTTATGCAGCTACTCTATTACACAAGAGATAAGGGAGATAAAGACTGTAGGCAAGTTGTCCCACTTCTGACCTGCTGAAAAACCTCAAAGAGCAACAAACTTCTTCATCGTTAGAAATCACACCACTAGAAAATAAAGTCTCGAGAACTGAAATGCAATTAAGGTTTCTCTTAAAGTAAGGGAAGGAACATAAAAAAAAAAAAATACCACGGTCAATCAGAAGAAAATAAACTTAGGCACGAGCTTTGAGAGATGGGACAGGAAATTACAGAGCAGAGGAAGAAGCCCCCCCTACACACTGGCAGGGAAGGCAGGCCTGCCTAGCCAGCCGGGCAGTTTTACTTTCGATTCCATAGGTCTCGGAGAAAGCGTTTTGCTGTCAGATCTATAGGAACACGCTTTTCACTGGGGCAAAAAAAAGAGGCCTACAGACATGCCACCAAATCTATACGGAGCAAGAGACTTCTTAGCTAACAACCCTCCCCGCTTCCTCCAGGACGCCCCTGCACACGTCAATCCAAGCGGGCAGGCTCCCCAACAACCCAGCCACCTCCTGGGGCTCTCCCTGCCCCGCTCGCACCGCAAGCCTGAGAAAAACGGCGACCTGCCCGGCGACCTGCCCC